GTAATCAGTGCCAGGCTGAATCAAGTCAGGAAACAGTAAGACAGCAACAGAAATGGGGCCCAGACTCACAGAGGTGGCTTGCTCAACTGCTGCCCAGGCACTGCCCTGAGGCAGAGCTACTGCAAGGGCCTGATGCGAGCTGGGAGCAGCGCCTTTCGGATGCAGAAGGAAGAGCGTGTACACTGCATACAGAGACCAGAAAGAGGGAAGGCCTGCTGCCTCTACACCTGTGCAGAAGTAAGTGGTAGTTTCTGATAGGCATGAAAGTCTCCAGAACTACTTGCAACAAGGCACATGAAAGTTATAGACCAGACTTCTGAGCTGGAAGGGAGGAATACACAAGGTTATCCCAAAAAGCTTTCAGAAATGTATCCACCAAGAGCTGGGCTGCTGGTGCTCTCCTGCTTCCTGGGGTGGTATAGGGGACACCTTCAGCATGATGGAAAGGAAGCAAAGGGAGCACTGGAATTCTTAGCCTTAGCCAGGGTTAGGTGGTAGTATCTTCTAAGAGGTCCTCCAGTGTATGTTTGCAGATATACTGGTATATACCACAAATTATAAAAAACAGAGGAGAACCTCAGCTAAAGTGAATGTAATGGAAAAGAGCTACCCTGTCTCTATGCAAAAAGGAGAAAGCAAAATGGGGAAATAGAGGAGCACGTGCATTAATACTGAGCATAAGTCATTATGGAAAATACATTTAGATACAGAGCAATCTCCAAGTCAGTTAAATGTGCTAACAATACATTTGATTTACAAAAAAGCCTGATTTACAGCAACAGGCTGAGTTTGCCTCATTGACTCTTCATTATAGTCCTCCGGGATCCATAACAGGGGGTGACAGTGACACAGTACAACTTAATGGGGTCACAGACCATGTGAGCTCTGGGAGACCCACATCTATCAACACTGACCCTACACCATGAATATGCAGGAAATCAAGGTAGGAGCCTGATCCTGTGCCAGTCCAAGCAGCTGCTGCTTGCCCTCCTGGGGACTGAAGTACCAAAGTGATGGTGGCAGTTAATGACTACTGCTTTACAACATTGACACAGGAGCCCAAATGTAGTTGGTAGGTAAGGACACTTGCCAAGGACAGCCTTCACTTAGCAAAAAATTAGTCACAACTGTAGGTGTCAATAGGCAAGTCACTACCCACCCACTGGCCACAGGGCTATATTGCTTCTGTCTAATGGACCAGCACTTTACCTGACATTACTCTTACGTCCTCACAGTAGGTGTCTTCAGCTTTTATGATCCCAGCACCGGAGGCAGATAGGATGAGGTTTGCTTTCATCTGACAGGGACTCCAGTACACGTTTTCTCTCCTATCTCAAGTCTTAAACCATAGTCCCAGCACTCGTGTAGCATACGCTCCATTGGCTGAAAAGCTGGAAACGTTACTACATCCACAAGAGGTCACTGTGGGGCAGCGCATCGGTGGTGTCTTAAGAGGTGGCGGCTGAGATGAACCTGTGAACAGGCCATGGACGCTCGCTACAACGTACACACGGTCCGCTGAGAACAAGAGAAACACAGGCCTTGCCACGAATTCATCTTTTGAGGAGTCAATGGATAGGTGGGGGAAAAACAGCCCTCGATGGGGTGCTACAAGAAATCCAATGGTTACCTCTGCCTCATAGTAAGAATTGAATTATATGCTGTGCTAGAGATGTTAGGATCTTGGAGAGCACATATTCCAGGATTTAGTAGAAAAGCCTGAACACTCCATAGCTTACTACAGAAAAATGCCATCTGGGAATGGACCCTATAAAATAACAAGGCCCCCAGAGCTGTTAAAGAAAACCATAAACATTTATGTCACTGGGACTCATCCACCCTATGTGTCCTCTCTCACTGCATGTCCAGGTGGAGATAAGGGATGTTAATGAGGACTAGAGCAATAGTGGCTGCCTGGATCCATGCAACATTGCATCATTTTGGGCTCCAAATCACAGCAGAAGTTTGTGTAAGAGTGCAGTCATATATAATAAGACTACTATTATAAAGTTATTAAAAAAGCTCCCAACAAACTGGTTTTGAATAGGAAACCAGAGATTATGCCTTTCCAGGAAGAGTGTGAGACTGGGAAGTGGCCTCATCATGAGGTCAAATACACTTCCCCCTCTAGTAAAGCTCTGAAAATCCATAAGAGCATGAGTGTTTTTTTTTCATGGTAAGCATGGAGTGTCTTGCTCTCAAAGCATTTTGTATTTCAATGAAATCTGAATCAGAAAAGATGACAGGTAAAGTCTCTCCCTAGACTATTTTACTACCCCTGCTTAACTGAGACCTTCTTTACCTCCACCTCTGAAAACTGCTTGGCAAAATAAGGTGGTCTTGAGAGAGTAACTAGTCATTAATAAAGCATTTCTAATTGTCTTCTTTCTGTCAGATGTGTGAAGCGTTCACATGTGATTTGGAGAGATGCCAGTCTTGGAGAAAAACTGGTAAGGCTGTGGCAGAGCCAGGAGCTTTATCAATGAGGCTTGCTTTTTTGGAGTCTTTTGAAAGACTCCATATCTTTGTCATGGTCATTAAAAAGCAATGCCTTTAATGCTCAGTGTGGCTACACGTGTGTTCCATGCAAAGGTGTGCACAACTGACCCAAGGTACCAGAAGATATCTCAACCCACTCCCCTCACCTGGGGTGGCATAGGGTCCCCTGCCTCCTTCTCCCCTTTCCTATGAGGAGATGGGGACAGAAACAGTAGCATCTCCTGCACATGCTCTCAGGTAAAAGGGAAAACTGAAGCTGAGACGAGGGAAGACAAGACCAAGAAAGAAGGGGAGAAAACCACATTCTCTTTAGCGCTTCCATGCTTGAAACACTCGTTTGTTGTCATTCCAGCTCAACAGTGTTCTCTGCTCTCACTCTCCACCAGGTGTTACACAGACTTTTTGCAGCCTTCCCCTTCCTTCTGCAGATCCTTTGTAGCCCTACCCCAGTGAGATGCTTCCATTCTGCTTCTCTCCCAGTCCTAACCTTCATCCTGTACCTCCAGCCTGGTTGTGAGTGGAGCCTCGTCCAAAATCCCCAGGCCTGGTGCAAGGTGAAAAACCCATTGGGTGGGTAGAGTGTGGCCCCTCAGTCATGTGCAGATGACTTGTTCCAGACTGTGGCATTGCCTACATCAAAACAGCAGTCTCAGGGCATTGTGGCCTTCTTGACAGGGCCAGTGTGGCTGGCTGCAGCATAAGCCTTTGCCACAGATGTCCCTCTCACCTGGAGAGGCTGTGCCATTCCTAGACCGAACCGTCTCTTCAGCAAGTGCTTGAATTGCTCTAGTTATACCCTGGAGTTTCTCCTGGGTTTCTGAGTAGCTGGAGCAACTCACCTGTGTAATCTTAATACATTTGTTACTGCAGGATGATACCAAGAAACTCCCTTGGAGAGCAGACACTGAAGAATGATTTTGCCACTTAGCTAGTAGGTCTTAAAGACAAACTGAGGAACTGCCCTCTTCTACAGTGCTTGCAAGCTGGTGTGTCTTCAAACCCACCAGCTTTACTTTAGTCAGAGCAATTCGAGGCTACCCAGAAGACCGTGTAAAGCTCGGAGTGTTACTCTTTTGCAAATGACCTCTGCCCCTTATGATCAGTGCAGAGACATCAGTGCTAAGTGCCAGTGGTATCATATCCCTATTTCTCGTTTCTTATAACCATGTTTAATGTAATTCCTTGACAGCAATAGGAAATAAATGTGCTCATTTCCCACATAACAGCCACCACTGAGGAGTGGTACTACAAGCGAGTATTGCTACCAGCAGCTACTTGCCAGAGCAAATAAATCCTCTTGGCAGCAGCAGCTGCAGTTGCTTCCTCTCACCATGCAAAAACCTCAGCTCCTGTATGCACTCTGGAGTGGACGTATGCACTCTGTAGGGCATGGCCAGGCGCAGAGGAAGCTGTCACCTCACACTCACTTGCAGGAGTATCAGAGGCAGAAAAATGTTTTATATGGTGTTGCAACACTGCGTGACTTCTCATGGTAAAACACTGCAACAGGCTGCCCAGAAACGTGGTAGATGCACCATCCCTGAAGACATGCGCAGCCAGGCTGGATGTGGTTCTGAGCAACATGATCTAGTTGAAGGAGTCCCTGCTTGTCGTTGCAGGGGGGTTGGACCAGATCAGCTTTGGAGGTCCCTTCCTACCCAAACTATGCTATGAAATGTAAAACACCTCAGTGCTACTTCCGTGCCTTGAATGTTCCCACTCTCTTAAGAGGAAACAGTTAATAGAATGTTAAAACTAAACACACCAACCCAAACCAACCCCAAACCACCCCAGAACAGGAAAGGTGTTGTCCTTAGGGGCAGGGCCACAATTTTACAGCCCTTTACTCAGGGCTGCTTCCTGAGTAACTGCCCAGCTGTCTTTCCGACTGCCTGTTTAGCATGAGCTGCTTTCACTGTAGGTCAGTCCTCGTAGCACAGCTCTGCACACAGATACGAGCTTATTACAGATTTCAGCCGGACACTGGTGGCCCTTTGCTCCGAGACACACATTTACCCCGGGAGACTCCCCAGCCCTCAGTATCACCCTGGCCTGTGGGAAAGGTAACAGACTTCCCCAGTCTGTCAGTTTCCAGGACTAAACCAACCGCGAGGACCCAATTCTCTCTACCCACGCCGGCAGCGGGTATCGGGCGGGAAGAGCCCACTCCGCCCCCACGCGTCCAGCAACGGTACGCCATGTCCTTCCGCTCACACCAGCGGTGACCCGGGCAAGAGGAGGCGGAGGGAGCATAAACCCACCTGAGGAGGAGGGAGATAACCGCCATCGGCCAACAGCCGCCCTGCGCATACGCGCTTCCGGCCGTTACTGCTTCCCACAGACCTGCCGGACCCGATCTCTGCAGTTGTAGTGCCGGCTCTACGCCCCTTTCCGCCCTGTCAGGGACCAAGCGCCGGCGAGCCGTGAGTGTTAACCTCCGCCTTCCCGGCCCGCGGTCCTGCCGCAGCTCCCCGGCAGCGGCTCTCGCTGCCCTGCCCTGCCTTGCCTTCGGTAAGGCAGTGCCGGGCAGTGGGGCACGCCGCCTTAGTGCCCCTTTACTTGGGGTGAACCCGGAGGGCTGCGTCATTGCGCCGGTTGGTGCTTCTGAGGGATGTTGTGGGGAGAGGGAACGTATTTGTTACACAGGCCTCGTGTGTGAGAGGAGAGCGGTGACCCTTCAGGGCATACCCGCGGTAGGGGTTTTGTAAATGCAGATGGTACCGCAGCTTTACTGGAAAATAGTAAGTAGGGCAGGGAAACTGAACTTTAATAAACTCGGTGAACAGGAGTGAGGTTTCTCTGAAGGTTACTTTGCAGTTCTTGTACACAAATCAGGACTTGTCCTGGGTCTCTTTCCATTGTCAGTATTGCCAAAGATGTCATCCGTATGCCTCAAAATGAGACTTTTTTTTTTTTTTAAATCTGTGCAAGAATGCAGATTTAAAATGTATATCAAATAATAAGATTGAACTGTAGAAATGGAAACATACAAGCTCAGGTAGGACAACAGCTAGGCTTTTTAAACAGCCAGGCTTTTTAAACAGCCAGGCTTTATCACCACTGCTAGTGTATCAGCCTTGAATGATGGCTGATTTTCACTGGTTAGTCAGCAGTTCCTGCAAAGCTGTCTTCTTTAGCAGAAAATTCACAACTTCAGGAGGTGAGCATATTGACTGAGTAATAAGCAACTGGGTCACAAATTTCTGTGTCAGAAGTTTAAAGTTAAAACCTAAAGTTATCTTTAACTGTAATAATTCAGGAAGGATTTAATGAAAAATCTTGAACAAAACTCTTACTGTAATTACCCACATTCTTGATGCAGGCGTTAATAACCATAACATACTGTTCCTAATTCATTGTAGAGGAACAAAACTGTTCAACCAGGGAGAGGCAATGATTTAAACATCACTATGGAACATCAGACAGTAACAGGTATTTAAAATAAACCATTATCATAGCTGAACACATATAAAAATAATTTCTTTATTATGACTTTTTTTTTTCTCTTTACCTAACAGTGTTGTTTCTTAAGAATAAATATGAACAGTTGAAAGTATCTTTTCTGGGCCTGTAGTTTCATGCTTCTGGCTATAGCAGTGCTACCATAACCAACTTCTTCCCTGTTTGCTTGTTCCCTGCTCTATGCTGCTCATTCTTTCAGCAGCTGGGAGGCTATGCTGCCCAGCAGATGAGGGTCTACCCATGTGAGAGTCACCACTTCCTACCCTCTTCAGCCTGGATGTTGCCAGCAGCAGTGCTCGCTTCAGTAAGCCTCCTCCTCCTCCCTGTTTCTGCCCTTGCGCAATCCATGAGTTGCTTAAAACCCTCTGCAGAGCTGAAACAGGGAACAGATTTTAAGGAAAAATAGCACTTTTACATACTGGTTGTTTCTCAACACTTGAGCCCATGTTCTCCAAACAGTGGAGAAGGAGAGGTGAGAGTAGGAATTAAGGTAAACCTGGTGCTGCTGAATGTCTCACAAAAAATGGTGTGGCCATCCATGTGTCCCCATCTGAGACAGCCACCTACCTGGGGCATTGAGCTGTTGTACTCTGCACTGAAGCAGAACTGGAGCTCTGTAAAAACACGAGCATCTGACTAAGCAGTAGCTGACAGATGAGGCAGCAGCACCTTTGGCAGCTGTAGTCATTTTGGAAATGAACTTGTGACTGCCCCTAAACCACAGCTACCTCAAAAGCCAAACTTACCCTGAATCAGGAAAGATGTATTCTTTTGTTTTCCTACTCTGAAAGAATTTCAGGCTAAGTGAGATGAAATAAAAAACTTCTAAAGAAATTATACTGGTAGACGAAGATCCTAAACCAGTTTTAAAATGGGCAACACTAAAATAATTGTGTAAGATGTGATTTCTTTTTACGTCAAAACACTTTTATACTTTAAAATAAATTGATTTTCAGTTATTACTGTAATACAACAGATAATAAACTCAACACCACTTACAATAATTGTCACATAATAAACTGGGAAAAAATGAGTACGCAGTGATTTTTTTTTTTCTAAATCCACTGCTTTAACCTTTAGTTAGCTATTTGTTCATATGTATGATGGAGGTTTCAGTCTGATAAACAGAATATATTACTCAGTAGGAGCTCTTTCAGAAAGATTGAAAGCCAACAACCTTTCACCTTCAACTGAATAAATCGTATCCCATTTAATTCAGTTTTTATTCAATGAAATGATGTATAAAAACTTACAAATCTGAGAACTTAACTATACACAAAAAGATGATACTCAGTTTAAATGTATATGCAGAGAAGAGCTGTAGTTTGTGACTTGCCCTCCCACCCCTCCCCAAAACCACACACCGTCTCCGTTTATGATGGGGCACTTATTCCGTCTGCTTATGCCTTCTGTTGGCCCAATAATTGCTCTGTGGGCTTCACTGCTGCTGTCAGTTTAGGGTTTTAGACTACCAGCAAGAAGTCTGGGCATCTATATAAAATAATAAGAATCAACAACTTGATTTTGAACACAAAGATGCAGTGCTACCATCAGCAGTAACTAAAACTACAGAATTCACCCTTTCAGGTTTTGCAGACTTTGTCTTGGCTTTGAAAATAATGGGATGCTCACAAAGCAAAATTTGCCAGCACTACAGATTCACTTTAAAACAACCATGATCCCCTATTACTACAATGTCTCTGCACCATTTTTTCCTCTTAACTCATGCCATTAAACCAAATGAAATTGTGGACATTTCTTGCCTGGGTAAAAAGCTTGTCTCTCTCCTTCCATCCAGAATGACTGAAACCTACAGCTAACAACCCATACCTGTGCTGCACTAACAACGGCACTATGCTTACCAGTATGGAATTCTCCAGTTTCCTTTGTAGCTTGGATGACCTCAATTACCTATTAGCTTCTCCTCAACAGGCCAATAAAAATGCACACAGCTTGGAATGCTTTACATTTGATTAAAAATAACCGTGCCATGACTAGTTTTGACAAACAACTAAAAGACATTCTGGGCTGAATCTCAGAGTAGACGGCCAGTTACTTAAAAAGGACATGTGTATTTGCCTGTACCCAATATACACACAAACACTTTATATATATATATAAAAATCTTTATACATATACAGTATTTTTATATATATATATAAAGATTTCCATCACATTATTATTATAGCTACTTAAGTCAAAATTTGACCAAGTAAGTACTTTGCTTGACTCAATGATGCTATGTGAAACAGATACCCAAAGGCATACTTGAAGGAAAACATATGTCTAATAGAAACCCGACACCCTCAGCTCTTACTGACTCAATGAACAGAGATTTTTACATTCACTGAGAAAAGTTCTGAAGGTTTTAAGTTATAACCGTAACCAACTTGCAGATGGTCTTCTAAAAAGCATGGTGTTTTAATCTGCCAGATCTTCTCAAAATGCCTTTTACCAGGGAAACTAATATAAATATATATTTTTCTTTGTTTACCAAACTGATACTCATTTCTCATTATGCTTGTCATTGTATCTAAATACACTTTTAAGCACTCTAAATTTTGTTTAAAATCTATTAAATTTGGATTAACTAATACTATCAGCATAGTTAGCTGGATTATTTTTTCACACATTCCTTTGTATTAAAATCAATTATGTTGTGGTTTGATGCAATAACTTTTTTTGTGTTTTGGTGGGAGAGGCAAGTCCAATTTCCTAACGTGCCAGTACAGTTCTCGTTGCTGAAGACAAAGGGTGGGAAGGAGGCTGGTGGAAAAGATGGCAGGGGTATGTGAGGTAAGAGGTGGAGGGAGGAAACGATTGATTTAATAAAAAATAAGAAACTTTAAAAAATTGATACAGGTTTCACATTCAGTCTAACAACACTGCTTCCTGCTCTTTTTTGATGGAGGCTAACACTGCATTATCAGTCTCTGTAGCTTCTGTGTCCCCACCACCTAGCAGAATGGAGCGATCTTCTTCTAGTGTAAAGACAGAGTTTTGATTTTGGCACGAATGTTTGACTACTTCATTGGGAGTGGAAAACGTTTTGTCACACAAGTTACATTTGTAGGGCTTGTTGGTCTGTACTAGCATGTTGTCCATTTGACTGCCTTCCTCAAAAGTACAGAGTTCCAGAGTCTGTTTGTCCACCATGGTGTACGTGTCCATGCTCTGGTTTAGGCACACGTGTCTGGCAGCCTGGTTAGCCCTACAAAAGCTTTTGTCACAAGTGCTGCATTTGAAGGGCTTGCCAGTGTGTATGTACATGTGCTCCCTCCAGTGGCTTTTCTGAATAAATTTGCGACCACAAATGGAACATTCGTATTTCCGCCTTTTTACTTCCCTCTCTTGATCTGCCTGCTCCAAGTTGTCTATGTCTGCAATATCAGAGGGGGGCGGTGTCTCTGACTGCTGCTGCCCATCAATTATTGGGGAGTCTGAGATCTGCTGCAGCTCGCTGTCACTGATCATCCCTGCTTCAGGCACTTCCACAGCATCTTTATCACCTGTGTTATTACAGAGAGACAAAGACATATTACTTTCTCCCTGCTGGTTAGACGTGAAGGGAACTCCAGTGTGAATCTGCAGGTGCTCACGCAGACTACTTCGCAGATTAAACCGGCGACCACAGAGATGGCAGGCATAGTATTTCGGGAAGCTTCCGTTCCTTTTCATAATGCTTGGTTTGACATGTGCTATTGTGAGTGAGGCAGGTTGCTCATCTGAAGAAGATGCTTCCATGTTGGCCTCTTCACCTGAAGGTGAATTATTACCAGCAGCAGACACCAATTCTGGAGATAAAGAAGATGGCAATGGGTCGGAAGCAGACATATTCGTCCGGCTCACTTGTGGCAGATTTGTAGCTAACTGCGAGAGCTGCGAGCCTTCGGAAACCTGCTCCTGGTTCATTCGCGACGTCTGTGGCCTTGGTTCTCGCCCGAGTTTGTCAGTCGCTGATGAAACCTTAGTGGGATGTCTTATCTGGTGATCTGCAATCTGAATGCCATATAATGAAGATGCTAATGGAAAAACTTGATCCGGGTGAGAAAAAGTTCCCTGACTTGCAAGGCTGGCCTCTTGAATTAGTGGATATGCATGCAGAAACTTTATTCCCTGTTCTAGTCGAACTGGGTCAATAAGTTGCGGTGCCATCTTCCCCGTGTACATCAAATGCAAGAGATAACTGAAGATATCTGGCTGTATGTCAGTCGCTTTCAAGCGGACACATTCACTGAAAGGAGAAACAGAATGATCAATAAGAGATAAGGAAAACTTTTTTTTTAACCAGATCTAGGTTATTCCAACATTGGTAAAAATCAGAGACATCTACTTAAATTCAAAAGGCAGAATCTGCAATAAATACAGAGAAATGCTTTAATGTAAAAAAAGCTCATCTTACTGGCCACTTGAAAAATGACTTTTTTTTTCCCTCAGAAAAGCAACTGGCTTGAAAGACAAAGCTGCCCTGTTGCAGTTTGCTCCTTTCTAAATTGCTGTTGTATTACAGATTTGTTGTCACATGTTAACATATTTTGTAAATTGTGATGTTTTTCCCCTTATTTTGGTTGGATTCAAATGCATCAGTAGCTAAATTAAAATCTGCTAGCACTGGACTCTAAATTCACAGTCTACTAAGCTTTTCTTAGTACTTAGCCCTGGAAACATCTAAAACTTGCCTGTTTGGCTTCTATGTCTTACTAAGTGTTTACAGTTAAGAGTTCTGCAAATGCGTGTATCACCTTGGCTCAACTGCATTATGATCCAGAAACAGCACAGGACAGGATGTGAATCCCCTGAGCATCTGGTGCAGTAGGTACAGCCTGAGCACATTCAACCCGTGGATGCCACACTCCTTGCAGAGCAGAACAGTAGCTTCCCTTGATCAGGGAAGAAGAAAGGGCAGCACCAGCAGTACACCTGGTCAGGTTACAGTCTCTTGGTTATAGTGCTCAGCAAAGGGAGATGCTTTGGCTGCCATGGCAGCCTAACGGGACTGAAAGCACCTAACAGGACTGAAAGCACCAACATCCTCCAGCTGAGAGCATTCCCTGTGCATCAACCTTTTGAAACACCCACCACCCCTCCAGCTGAAGCTGGATCTCTGTGCAGAAAGAGAGGCAATGTTCACAGAAGAAAGAAAATCAGGAACACCTTGGTTAGGCCACTTGGCTAACAAGAGAGGAGCTGGGATTCTTGCTGGTTTTCAGAGTTATTTGCAGTTCTTGTATTAAACCAACATTAAGGAAAGGACAGAAATTCAGGAATGGTCATGACTCCATGCTGCAGTCCGAATACTCTTGCTAGGTTACCAATACAGTAGGTTACCAAGCCAAAGAGTTAAGAGTTTCACTCAACAAACTTTTTGAGATAGTTCAAATATTTGTGAAAAAGACCAAATAATCTTTAAAACAGTCTTATGCTTTTGTTACAGAAATGCCAAGAATAGTGCCAAGACAGACTAGAGGATAGAGAGTGGGGGAATGAAAGTGTAAGAGTGAAGACAAGATCCTTTAAATTCTAGGAATTCTAGGGTTTTTTTTTAAGGATAAAGAACTTGTGCTAAATTGTAACAGTAGTGTTAATGTATCACAGTTTAACACATTTTAAAGTGAGATTCTGTTTTGCAGGCAAGTCTGGATTCCCTATTCCTCATGTCATTGCAAGAAGCAAAAAGAACATTTTTAGGTTTCAAAATGCGATTAGACCTCCTTAGCTTAGCTAACTTAACACCCTTTGAACAGTGAACCTTTTTACAGTTACCTGGTCTGATGAACAAACAGCATCTTGAAGTAGTTGGAGAAAGAGGCAAGGACTGATTTGTGTGCCTTGAAGTAGACATCACCAATGGCCACTGTGCAGTCACACAGGAAACCAAACTCTCTCTGAGCGTTTAGCTGCTGCAGCAGAATAAGTCCATGGTTGGCCAAATCCATTTTTTTCCACTCTGAAAAGCAAATGACTTCCATGTAAAAACAGCAGATGCTCAGATGCAACAGTAGCTGTCCCTTAACAGTTATCTTCCGCTAATATCCATATGTCATGCTCTAGTAACACCTCTTAATCCCAAGCTATTGTATAAATGATATCATACACGCAGGCAGGTTTCATGCTGACCAATGCAATTCACAAAGGTGCAAGCAGTTTGCCGAGGCTTAAAGAGCAAAGAAGAGCCAGGACTAAAGAGTGCTGAAAAGGTATGTGGGGGCTTGGATATAGAAATACAAATAGCAAAAAGAGAGGAAGAAACGTTAAGTAGTTAAAACAACTATTTGTAATGGGAAGGACAAAGTATTTTGATTATTACTTGACTGTTCAAACAGGAAAAATAAATCTCCCTTCTGGTATCAGCTATGTTCACCTAACTGTGTGGAAGAGGCAAGAGCAGAACCCACTAAAAGACAAGTTTAGATACTTTTAACCTGAGTTTTCAGTGTCTCTGTATATCTGTTATTTTCTCTTTCTTTTCATAGAGCATCTGGACTGCCATGGCAGTGCAGATGCTCTATGAAAAGAAAAGAAAGAGAAGGTAAAACTAGGGGAAGTGGCTCAAAAGCAGTAAATTTATCACAGAATGGTCTGGGTTGGAACGGACCTTAAGATCCTCTAGTTCCAAGCCCCCCTGCCATGGGCAGGGACACCTCGCACTAAACCGTATCACCCAAGGCCCTGTCCAACCTGGCCTTGAACACTGCCAAGAATGGAATAGTCTTGTTTGTTGCTTTTTTCCCCCCCCTCTCCTCCAAATGTAATAGGAAGTTACTGAAATTTTAGGTAAGGTACAAAGAACTCATTTCAGTAAGAAATACAGTAAATACTTATCTAATAGAACATACATACAGTATAAATTCAGTGAAAACCAGAGTGTGGCTATTTTGGGAAAGGGAATAAAAGTGTATTCCATGTGTACCAATACATTTAGTCATTGAAAAAAAACAAGTATTTCTACTTACTGGATAGTGAAGAATGTGCTCTTATTTAGACCAGCAACCAGGCTGACCAAGTGCATTCCTTTGCATTCACAAGAGATCAGAACTCAAGTCAGGGGTGAAAGGGCAAAGAAATACAGTTTAAGATACAGTTGATTATTTTCTTACACTAAAAAAAAAACCTAAAAAAATAAAGTTTCAGTTCTCTTCAGGTCCATCCTCTCCTAAGTTACTGCATGTTTGTACAGACAGTAATCCTCTCCTTTCCAAAAGGGGTAACACTATCAGCAGTAGCTAAAACCCTATTAATCGTTATTTAGTCCTGCAAAATGCTCTATGCAGGTAGACTTTGCCATGCTACGGAAAACACACCTTTTTCTTCTCTCTTTTTTTTTTTTTTTTTTTTTTTTTTTTTTTTTTTTTTTTAGCTTTAGTTTAGATTATTCTGCTTGCCACATATTTTAATTCATCAGTGCTAAATCCAGTTTGTACTTGGACAGCAAAATTTGTCAGGCAGAACCAACCATCAGTGGGAGGGAACTCCAAGCCAGAAAGGCATTTTTTCTAGTTACTATCACCTTGAGTTTGTTTTGCTCATAGTGACAGCAGTCGCTGTGGCACTCGAAGCTGTTGTCTTTTGTCAGAGACCTGAATTAATCTCTTTGCATGAAATGACACGGTTCATATGCAGGCACAACACTAAGTTCTTGTGTATATTCAAAAGATATTTAAATGCTTTGAACTGAAAGCACTAGAATAATTACACAGCAGAAGAAAAGAGTAAGGAAAGCACTCTGTACATTATACAGCAGTCTCCTAATACCTGAAGGGGGCCTACATAAATCTGGAGAGGGACTTTTTACAAGGGCCTGGAGGGGCAAGACAAAAGGTAATGGCTTTAAGCTGTCAGAAGGGAGATTTAGGTTAGACATTAGGAAAAAGTTCTTCCCTATGAGGGGGGTGAGGCACTGGCAGAGGTTGCCCAGAGAAACTGTGGCTGCCCCATACCTGAAAGTGTTCAAGGCCAGGTTGGATGGGGCTTGGAGCAACCTGGTGTAGTGGTGTCCCTGCTCACTGAAACAAGATGGGGTTGGAACTGGATGATCATTAAGGTCCCTTCCAACCCAAACCATTCTGTGATTCTAGGTATGTGTGTGTTCAGTTTTACCCTTAGCTAAAAAAAAAAAAAAAAAGTGATCAACACCAGCACGTTCTGCTTTAGTGTTGATAGGTTCAAGAGCTGCCTAACATACTTCTTGTGCCCCGAAACGGCTTGGGGACAGCCCTTCGGCCACACGGCTGACAGGCGGGCCGGCTCAGCCTTGTCACAACTTTTCACATCACCCAGCTCACTCGACGGCCGGTGAAAAACCACGCGAGGCCCAGCCCTGTCTGAAAGCGTGCGTTTATTTCGGAGACACGGGGGGAGAAGCGGTGGGCATGGTTCAAGGACGAGAAGGAGAAAGCGCCGCTGCCGCCCCGCAGAGGGGGCGAGGCAGGCCCGGGGGAAAGAGGGGAGCACCGGGAACGGAGCGCAGCAAACACCTGCTGGCCCGGTGCTACCCGGCCCGCAGCTTCCCGATACCCACTCGCACACCTCACGGACACCAAACCTCCCACCGAGAGCCCGGCGTCCCTTCCGCTTCGGCGGCTGAGGGCACCAGCCCCGGCCGCTCACGAAAGCGCCCCACCGCCTGACAGCGCCCGCTCCTCCGGGACAACGGCAGCCGCTCGGTACCGGGCGAGCTGCGCTACGAGCCCCGGACGCAGACCCGCGCCGGGGCCCGAAGCAGCCGCAGCCGCGCCCGCTAAGGCGTGACCGCGCGCGCGCGCCGGCAGCGAGGAGCGGGAGGCGGTGGGCGACGCTCGGGAGCTCCCGCCGCCTGCCGGCGCTGTAGCGCGCGGCGGGGGCGTGGCCATGAGCCCGCCCGCTCCCCCGCCCCTCTCGTCCCCGGAGTCACGCTCGCCCTCAGTGGCAGAGGTGACGGAGCCCTCCCATTGGCCGCCGGGGCGGAAGGCCGGGTGTCCGCGCGCCGCTCTCACTGGCTGCGCCCGCCCCTCCTCCCCTCGCTCTCTGCCCGCCTTCCCCCCCCTCCCCACCCCCCGCGCACGCCACGCGCGCACGGACGGACGGAGACAGCGCGAGACGCAGCGCGAGAGAAGCCGCCAGGGCGCGCGAGACGGGAACCGCCGCTGCTGCCGCCGCCGCCGGGAGGGCCGCCCAGCCTGCCGGGGACAGACAGGCGGGGCCGCCCCCTCCGCGCCGCCCCGCCCGCCCCTGCGCCGGATGCCGCCGGTCGGGGGGGGCCGCCCCGCTTCGGGCGGGAGGCCGCTCGGGCCCCAACCGACCGGGCCGGGCGACACCCCCTTCTTTCCTACCCCATCCCTTCTGTCTTTCCCTTTCCCCCCTTAAATCCCCGGCCCTCCTCTCTCCTCAGCGCGGGCCCATACCCCCCCCCCCCCCCCCCCCCCCTCCCCGGGCTGTGTCCCGGATGGAGCGGCCCGGCCCGGCGGGGGTTTGTCAGGAGGGCAGCCCGGCGGCGCCAGGCGCGGCCCTCCGCCGCCTCCTCTCCCCCCTCGGCCCGCTGCGGCGTGGCCGGGCCCCGCACCCGCCGCCCCTCGCACACAATGAGGAGGTAGGGCCGAGCAGGCCCCGCCGCGCCCGCCGCCGCCTCAGCGCGGGCCGCGGCCGGTGCGGCGGGGCTGGGCGCACGTGCGGGTGGCGCCGGGATCCCCCAGCGAGGCACGGCGCGGCCGGTGCTCACCTGAGGGGCGCGGGCCGCCGAGGCGCCTGGTGTCGCTCGGGCCGCCGCCGTCTCCGCGCCCAGCAGCAGCAGCAACAACGGAGTCAGCGCGGCGGCGGCGGCGGCGGCTTTTCCTGTCCGGTTACGTTAGGGTCACATGACCGAGAGCGGAGCACAGAGGCTGCAGCGAGGAGCCCCCGCCGGGGGGGAGGGGAGGCGGCGAGCGCTGTGGCGGCAGCAGCAGCAGCAGGAGACACCCAGCCCCCTCCCGCCCCTCCCTCCCCCGACCGCCGCGCGGGCCGCACCGGCGGGACCGGCCCCGTCGCCGCCTCCCTGCCGGGCACCTCCGGGACTGCCTCCGCTCCGGGGCGCTGCCCCTTTAAGACTCCCGGGGGTGGGGGCCGGTGCGGTTCCCCCTACTCTGCCCCGCTCGAGTGTGGCGGAGGCGGTACTGCTGCTGCCAGCGCCCCTCTGCTGCCCGGGCTACGGAATAACGGGCCGGGCCAGCTTACCGGCGGGCCTGGCTCGGGACCGTGGCAGCGTGCGGGGCCGGGGCGGCGCTGTGCTGCGCTCGCTGCCGCCGCCGATGCCTTCCCGGCGCCCTGCCGGCCTCGCCGCGGCGGTAGAGGCTGCCCGCCGCCAGCGTCCCCGGGGGCGCCTGGCCGAGACGCCGGGGGCCACCGGGTGGTTACTGCCGGGCAGGGCGGCGGCGATGTGTGTCCCCCGGTTCTCCCCTCGCTGTCCCGGTGAAGAGTGATGGGTGCAGGTGCCCCCCCCAGCCCCAGAGCTACCGGGGACGACCCGGCTGAGGGAGTGGAGCGGGGGGTGCGATGTCCAGAGTCTCTCGGGTACGAGCTCCGCTCCTTTTTTATCCGCGGCTTCTCGCTGGTGTCATTTCAAGTGCAGGTCCTCGGTGGGTGCTTGGGCCAAGGGGAGGTGTGGGCTTCAGGGCCTGGGCCCGATGAAATTGCCCCATCTGTTGTGGTTGAGCTGTCAGATGAGAGGTTGGTTACAAGTTCACTTGTCAAAAGAGTGACTTGGAGTGCAAAAGTGGGAAGGTTGGGTTTGCTTTTGTCTTTTCAGGTGGACTCGTGATTTGAAACGAGTGTTTTTAGCTCTGCTCTTTCAGGGAGGGGTGTAGCATCCTTCCATAAAAATCACACCTGCAGCTTTGTGCAGCGTTGGGTTCGGGCACAGTTCGGGAATGCAGATGTAGCCAGGCCTCAAGGACCCAAAGTCAAGGCGTGCTGTGGAATTCACGGGTGCTTGTGCACCAATGGACACCATGATACATGACAAATTGTCAGTATTGCAAAAGTCAGAGTAGTTGGTGCGGAGCAGGGAGGCTGTCTTCTGCGAGAGGCCGGCAAGGAAGTCCCAGAAATGGAAGGGTGAGCTCTGCGCTGAGCTTGGGGTGATTCCTCTTAAGTCACAGAATCAGTCTGGGTATGGCCTGTATCTGTGCCTTTTTGTAAGGTGACATCCACTGACTGGAGTGGTGGAGCTGACCAAACTCTTTTCAGAGAGAAACTGTGTTCTGGGGAGATACTTGGCTGGGAATAAAGAGGCATCTTTTGCACCGCTGCCCCAGGGGCCTGCTCCTGCTGTCCTTAAGTATGCTTTCTGTGCTTCCTTAGGAACAGCATATGCTACAGTGCCAATGATTTGAGTTAGGCTGAGATGGTTATTACCTTTAGAAAGGTCCTTATCTGAGCAACATTTGAGGTTGCCAGCTGTAGCTGGGATGATGTTTCCACAGTCGTTAAATAAGATGTTCTATGGAAAAAAGGCTCAAACTCCTGTAACTTAGGGCCTTGACAGCAAGTGTGCTGTCAGGAGGAGGATGAGTCTGGTTTCTTGTCTGGTTTGTAGATCAACAGAGGGTTGCAGCCATCCCAGGCTAAGTATTATTTGTACGGGATTTAAATTGATCAAGGACTAGACCAGTTTATGTGAGTCTGACTGCCGTCTCCGACTGACGTTAATGGAAGGTTGGATAGACACAGCTTGAGTCTGTTTGGGTTATATATCCCATGAATGTTAATTTATTTATCCAAGTTAAGCTGCCCTTGAAAACTAACTACTTGGGTCCTAAATAAACCACCAACCCCAAGACCCAACAACTTTAACTCTGGTGGAGCTGAGAGCTGGTCATTTGTGGCTGTTGCAGTACTTTGAATGAAGCATTTGGACAGACCTGCGATTGTAGAATCTGCCTTGAGTACCTGTGATAGGTGTGCTAACCTACAAGGGCTGCGTTCTTAGCAGCTCTCCTGCTGTTTGAGCCCATGGCCAAAACTGATGGAGTGTATTTAACCAGCCTGCTTGGCAAACCTTACATGTCCCTTGCTTTTCAGCCCTGCAGATTAAATGCAAAGTAAAGAGAGTAGATGGACACTTGAACTCAAGTCAGTAGCAGATGATTTGTCTCATTCTTGTGGAAGATGGTGAAAGCGATATAATTTTTAATTAAATTGAGTGGGATGCTTAGGAAAACCAGTGTGTTTCTGGCAGGTACCTGCTAGGCTTTGTGGTCTGTTTTTTCTCTTCTGTACTGCACTCAAGTACTTCTGTGTTGGCATTTGTGCGGTATTCTCCTCTGTGCTGCCTCTGAAACTGGAGGAAAGTCAACTTAGTTATGTTTTTTTAATTAATAGCTCATAATTCAGCTTTAAAGCAACTTCATTTGGACCACAGTACTTTAATGCATTTCTTAATTTAGAAGTATCCGTTCTGAAACAAGGCCTGCTGGAAGCTGTAGGAAGATTGCTGTGTTGAGTTTAATGCTTCTGAACTTCACACCCTCAGTACTGGCCTGCAGCTGAGAGATGTCATCAGTGTTGATAAACTCCTTTTGGACACTCAGCTCAAGACCTGAATCTAGAATTTTGCTTCTATTTTGTCTTTTGAGGTATATTTTAAACAGTTACAATCCCTGCAACTGAAATTGCATTCAAAGTTTATTCTTGTCTTATTAAGTGGTATTATTGTGCTTTTAGTTTTTATATGCTCATTTTTTCCCCCAAGTACTAGTGTAGGATTTCCTTCCTACCTTTATGACTTCTTGAAAGGACTGCAGGCTGATTCAGATAGTACTACGTACCTGAGAGCATTCCCAGTTGTGCTGTTGTTGATGATAGGATCAGTCCTTTAGTTTTCGGTTCTGCTTTGGTCTGCGTGTACCCAGATTAAAGGCAGAGTTTTGTCTGGGAAGATCATGTTTTGCATTGTAAATGAGCACACTGCTGATGATTTAAGTGTTAATAGGATGATGAAAGTGTCTGCTAATCTGAGTAAAAATTCACTTGAGCAGTGGAAGGGACTTGAGCCAGGCTCAAGTCCTGTGAGCATGTCTTTTAATGGTAGAGTTCAGTTGAAGTCTGGACTGGTACAGCAGATACTTGTATCATTATAGTCAAAACCTTAACAGCTCTAGTGATGATAATTAGGCTCAAAATGCTGAGATTTCAGTGAGTTTTCAAATTCCTCACATTTTCAAAGAAAAGAGCAGAGTCTCCCTGTGCTGAAGAGCTCTTTGCGTCATCGCTGACCCGCTCCCACGGGACCGTTGCTGCCTCTGCCGGAGCTGTGGGGATCTGGGAATTGAATGTGCGAGGCAATGAGTAGGAACTGCTTCCACCTCGGTGCAACTGTCATAGAACATGAGTTTGTGTCAATGCTGTAAATCTGCTTTGTTAGCTCAGCTGCCATGTCTAACACTTCCACCTCTGATTTATGTTGGTGAAGTGCAACAGCTGCAGTAGCTGCTCCCTAGAGCAGTTACTGTTGTACCTCTGGTAGTCTCCAGCCTTTCCATCCAGGGCTATGTCCTCCCTCCCTGTTAGGGTTTCTCACACCCACAGTCTGAATCTTGCTTGTGTTTCACACTGCACTGGCAGCACGTAAAAGTGACCCAAGGAAAACTGCAGATGTGAGGGTACAGCAGCTGTTGTGGAAGGGCTCTGCTTTCCTCACCTTGGCCTCCCTGCCGTGGGGAGGCTGTTGGGGTACACTTGTGATAGTGGTCAGCCCTGAATGGAACTGAGCTTTCACATTCTTGTTTCGATTAGGCCTGGCTGTCCTGGAGGTGCAGGAGAGCCATGGTGTGTGAACCGTGTTTGTGTAGGGTGTATGAGGTGAAAAAATGAAGAAAAAGGTCCTTGCCATTCTGTAGACTAAACAATGTTTCTGGTAGCAGTATGTTAACTGGGAATTGCCAGCAAACAAAGCTTTATCAACAGCTAGCGGTTAGCGGCAATTTACACCAGAGGAACAAATAACGCTAACAATAACAATTTGTCCTTGTGTTAGTGCAGCGTATGTAATCCGAGGAGATGGTTTAGTAGCATGCACAGAGTTGTTTTTTCTGGTTAGGAGCCTCATCTCTGTCAGGAATTGTTAGTATGGCCAAAGTGAGACAGTTTCTGCAGTGTAGATTAGCCCTCTGCTTTCTGGCTTTGCCTAAGTCCCACATTAGCCATGGGCCCTGCCCACTTTTAAATGGAAAAAGTCAAACTGCATTCTTGTCTGGAGTGGCATTTTTAGTGGAGCATGACTATAAAATTACAGCAATGTATATTGTTGCGTGTTTTGTTTTCCTTGGAGAAAGGGATTCAAACTGCAACTGTTATGAGTGCGTTTTTAAAGCCCATGCAAGTGAGGTATTCTTTAGAGGAGGAAGGTGGAAGTGAAATATTAGTTGATACTATGTTTGCATTGCTGAGTAATATCTAAATGGTCACTTTGAGCTCATGAGATACTTAATAAACAGTTATAACTAAATAGAGAGTTTGTCAGCATTGAATCAGACTTAGGAAAGTGTTAAGTATTTGGGGGGCAATAGAATTGGTTACCATCATTTAATAGTCATATTTCACCAGTTTGGCAAATGTGTTTCTTGCATGGATGGAGCTTGAAGACTGACACAAACAGGCAAATGAATGAGCACTAATGGAGAAACAGTGATACCAGCCATAGCTGCAGTGCTTTCAGCAGCTAAAATAGAGTGAAGGAGAAGACATGCTTGTCCGTGTTTCCAGTTTGTTTAATAAAGTCTGGTTAAAGAACCAGGAATGGGGTGGCTGTCATGCCGAGTGTGCGAGGAGAGGAGACTTTTTGTCCTGTTCCCCGGTGTGACTGGGTCTGCCTGACTCCTGCTGTGTGCACTGAGGAGCACCCTGCACTGCTGGAATTGCTTGGTTTTCTGAGATCCAGCCACCTGTGTGGTGCAGAGAACACGGGTGGTGTCCAGAAGTATGTCATTGACGGGCACATAGGGGATCAGGAGAAACGGGCTACCTCATACACTGTTTAGCTGTGGCAAAATCATTCTCTAAGGCTGACAGATCTTTGCTTTCCTGCTGACTGTAAAGAATTACAGTCCCTTAGAAATCCTTTTATCAGCTGCAGCTGTAGACATTTCCAGACACTTTCCCCCTTCTGGATACCTAAGACAGACAGTTACGCTTTATTCCCCCCAGACAACAAATGCTTTGGGCTGTGGTTTTGTTTTTTAACCCCCATGTGTATCACTTACTGTATGTGGCTAGCTCAGATTCTGCATTTCTTTTTGGTAGTTGCCTCACTAGTATCATAAACCAGTCTGTACACACAGCAGGGGGGGTGGAACTAGATGTTCTCAAGGTCCTTTCAAACACTAATCATTATATGATTCTATGATAATGAGACTCTTGGCAGATGTTAAATGCCATCCCGTTAAGGAAGGTGAGTACATCACAGATCGGTAGTTTCCACCCTTGTAGGCTTTCCTTGGACAGAATCTTGATGGTCCAGGGAGAGTGACTGAGAGAAGTAAGCTGACAGACTCAATGCAGTTTCTAAATTGGTCTGCACATGAAGAGCCCATAAACTGGGGAAGGTTCACTGCAACTGTTACCAGGACCAAGGACATCCATCTGTGTCTGGTCTTAATGTCTGGTGCACTCCTGTATCAGTAAGTAAACTCATGTAGATGGGCACACGCAGTCTGGCTTTTCCCCTCCTTTCGAAACTGAGCTGAAGCTTGTTAAGTTCCTAGGACTGAGGTAGGACAGGGAAGGACAGACCCTTACATGTTTTAATGTTCCTGTGTTTTGTTTCAGGCCAGCACTTGCAGTTGGTGTGTGCTGGCTGAATTGAACACGTGTTGTTTGCAGAGAGCTCTAGGGAGGTGTCACGTATATGCCGTTGCTCATCCAGCCAGCAGAACTGATGTGCTGAGCAGGGACAGGCTCTGCAGCCAGGAGAGCTGTTGCCCCACAAAGTGGGAGTGGAAGTCAGCAGTCCCAGCTCTGAGCATTCTGCTGTTTTACAAGGACCCAGTCTCATGAGCACTTCCTAACAGATCTACCAAAAATCATCTCTAAGCTGTCCTTTACCTCATCTAATGGAAAAAAACACAGGTAGAAGCAGTCTGCACAGTTGGGATCCTCATAAAGGATGGTCTGACGGAGTCCTATGCAAACAGAATTTTACCAGTCAGTCCTCATGTTGTTAAAAAGGTTAAAATTTTGGAGTTCTGGATATACGAGGGTTCCTGGTTTTCCTTCTATGTTCTGTATTTATTGCTGTGGCATTTTGTTTCTTTCCCCAGGTGACCCTTATTGCTTAGAACAGGCACATTTTGAAGACTTGAACTGTGCAAACTGTGTAGTGACAGAGATGGTTCTTTTCAGTTACACAGTGAAGGCACATGGTGGACGAGGCAAATGACAGGTGTGTGTGTTCAGCAGCTAAGGCTGTGTTGCTCTGGAACTGGAGTCTCATCTTGCCTCTGCCATAAAACCTACTCCCGGTCAAGCCACAGTACACTTGCACAGGGTCCCCATGGGATCTCCAGTGAGAACACTCACTTTGTAAGACTGTACAGTTGTTGCTGAAACAAACCCCTCATACTTTGATGCAGGTGCCCATGGATACATTGTGAAAAAGATGGATAGAGAGTTCTAATGCACAGTTAAGGCTTAACTGAAGCTGCAGAACTCTTAATAGCCACTGGACACTGTAAATGGCACTGGGGACTTGATGGGAGGAACAGAGCATGGTTTTATGGCTACAGTTTATGTGCCAATGTAAACAGACCTAAGGCTTCAAAAGTAACCGTGTTTCTCTGGTTTTGAGGTTTTTGGCTGGTAACTCTTAAATACAGTCCCAAGACAGAACATTTGAGGTAATCACACCGCCACTTCATGCTTCTGAAGAGCGTCTAGGAGTCCTCAAATGACTTTGTTAAAACCACTTTTCCTGATGGATGCAGTTGGCCTGTAAATTTACATTTTAGCATTTTAACTGAAATACTGAAACATTAAGTGTGAGATGGATAGGAAGTTGATGTTCTTACGTGTTACACTCAAATGGGGGGGGGGGAACCCCCCTATTTGTCTAAAGGAGTGAAAAATGTTTGCTAGGAAAGTTACAATTAAAATGTAACCTAATTGTTACTGGAATTAGGTGATGCTTGGTAAGGTTTTCTGCTGCATAAAGGATGTAATATACGTTTCTACAATAGCCCTGGGTCAGTCAGATCATTACTGAGGAGCTGTTCTAAACCATACTCCAAGACCCTGTCACCAGGCTGTTCTGCTGACCAGTTCACTTCTGTGAGTGGGTCTGATGGTTCCGACCTCAGCAGTGTGGGGGATTGGTGGGAGACCTGTTCCAGAACCAACATCTCTGGGGGGTGACCTGTTCTGGTTCTGAGGAGAAAGCCTACTTCTAAGAGAAACTGATGCTTCTTAAGAGGTTCCCATGCCACTGGTAATGTAACATACAGCAAAAGGACGGGTTTGTAGTCAGGTGTTTTTCCTAGCTCTACCTGACTTTATTCTCTTCCCCATCATGCATGTGTTTGATGTATTCAACAGTCTAGTATCACATTCAGAAATGCTGTTTTCAGGTGAAGATAGGACAGGAAGCTATGGCAAATGTGGTTGCACTTCTAGCCTGAATTTAGTGATCACGGCTTCAGGTGCTTTTAACAAACTTCCTAGGTTATGTTGCTGAAGCAATACACTGTGCACTAACCTGATTTTGAAAGGGCTGATAAAATAGCAGTTGTGTAGAGATTCCTGAAAAGGTGTTTAGAAAGAGAAGTTGCTGGGGAAAAATGTCCCCTCATCCTCTTGTGAGTAGTAACATCCTGGAGATACCAATCTGCAGACCTGTAAACTAGGAACAGATTAAAAAACCCAACCTGAACAAGATCTACCTTACAGGATAATTAAACGACATTTTCATAGAACAGGCTGGGTTGGAACAGACCTTAAAGATCACCTAGTTCCAATCGCCCGCCATGGGCAGGGGCACCTTCCACGAGACCAGGTTGCTCAAAGCCGCATCCAACCTGGCTTTGAACATTGCCAGAGATGGGGCAGCCACAGCTTCTCTGGGTAACCTGTGCCAGTGTCTCACCACTTTCACAGGGAAGAATTTTTTCCTAGTATCTTATCTAAATCTACCCTCTTTCAGCTTAAAGCCATTCTCCTTTATTCAGTCACTGCACGCCCTTGTAAAAAGTCCCTCTCCAGATTTGTTGTGGGCCCCTTTAGGTACTGGAAGGCTCCTCTAAGGTCTCCCCTGAACTTTCTCTTCTGCAGGCTGAACAAGCTTAACGCCCTCAGCCTGTCTTCACAGGAGAGATGCTCCAGCCCTCTGAGGATCTTTGTGGCCATTGTCTGGACTCTCTCAAGCAGGTCCACCTCTCTTGCACTGTGGGCTTCAGAGCTGAACGCAGTACTGTGGGAGGGGTCTCAGGAGTAGAGGGGCAGGATCACCTCCTTTGACTTGCTGGTCATGCTCCTTTTGATGCAGCCCAGGACGTAGCCGGTTTTCTGGGCTGCAAGTACACACTGCTGGGTCAACCAACAGCCTCAGGTTCTCCTCAGGGCTGTTCTCACTCCATTCTCTGCCCAATCTGTAGCTGTTCCTGGGATTGCCCTGACCCAGGTGTAGGACCTTGCACTTGGCTTGGTTGAACTTCATGAGGTTTGCACTGGCCCACTTCCCAACCCTGTCCAGGGCCCTCTGGATGCCATCCCCTCCAAGCATGTCAACTGCACCACAGAGCTGGGCGTTGCCGACAGACTTGCTGAGAGTGCGCTCAATCGCACCATATACTACTTCACTCCTTGCAGCTTGTACTGGTAAGAATCAGGAAATATGATCAGGTAGACAGCCTAATGATAGAGAAACTTTGTGAATTTTAGTTTATCATTTTGCTACAGCTTCGTGTGACCTCAGATGAAAGTTCAGCCAAGTATGGGACTACGTTTATTTAGAAGATATACAAATATGTAAATACCTTGCTGTCATGGGTAGAATATAACATTATATACAACTGCCAGGTATATTAAAATCATGCCACATAACTTAAGGAGAATAAGCTTGGGGCAGTCATGGCTACTGGAGAAGGAGCTGGGGAAAACTTAGTCAGAAATGCATGAAGTAGCAAAGTACTGAGCATCTTTTTAACTGTCCTAGGACAAGGCAATAGAGTCCTTCACCAGATCAGTACAGTCAGCACAGAAGGGATCCATCCTTCTGTCCTTGCTTATTAAGAAGACAAAGCTAAATCTCTCCCTATGCCAGCCCTGCATGCATCTGGGCCTACTCACAGACTCAGACTTGTCTAACAGCACTAGTACAGCAGCTGGGAATAACATTCACAAACTGATTTATTATGTTTTTTTTTTTTATTTGAGTAGAAGATGTATGTATCTATCAAGAGCCATGATTCCACTGTTTTCCAGAAGCATACCATAGACAGTAATTTTCTGGGCCATATGAATTTGTCAGTTTTCTTCTTCCCGAGTTTCTTCTGTCATCAGAAAACTACCCTTGCGAGTTCAAACAGAACCTGTGGAATAGCAAACACATGAATATGAGTTTTTATTTAATAATTCTTAAAACAGCTTATACTGGAAAAAAGATAATCTGAAAAACTACAGGTGCAATTCAAAAATGCCTTGCAAAGAGCTGAAGACCAATCCTATTGTACAGTATAGTGCATTACCTCAATAAAATAATCTTCATTCTCAAAGTACGCAAATTGCACTTGTTATTATGTATTCAGTGTGATAGTGGAAAGAGCCCCACCAACCTCTATGGTGATGAGTATCACTATCATCCACTCGAGGCGCAGAGCGTGCTTTTCATTCAGGTGATTTCGCATCAGGTCTGTCAGCTCCATGCAGTGCTGAAGCTTCTCATTCATTACCTGCATCAAGAGATTGCAAATACATGGCAAACCTGGATTCTGTAACTGCAATGAGATCACTAAATAGAGGAACACAGTCCACAGAAGGGCTCACTGAACAGAACTAAAAGGATGTTGACACTCTTCTGTGAAATAATAGAAAGCCCTGAAGGCAACGTGCACAAGCAACAGAGGTTTCAATATGAACAAGTCTGTTGTTTCTATAGGTTCACAAAAATAACAGGAATTTAGATATGCATCTGCAGGAATTAAACTGCTTCTAGATGATACCTGCTCAGAGAACAGGCATAAGCAAAAGAAGATGCAGCTACTGGAATGCCTCAAAAGTAACTAAATATTTAAAACTGCTGAACCAGCAGAAGTGGTAGTTTTTGTGTTGCTTATTCTGGTTCAGCAGTAAGCATCTTGTCACCCGTCAAACTGACCTGAATGATCATGTCTGTAAAAAGAACACGTCACATCTCAAGTTTTTCTACTTGTTTTGTTGCATACATTGCAGAAGAGGAATTAAATCTCATAACTATATAAAGCCTAATTTAGTGGCTCAGGAAATAGGCAATCAATTCACATGAGGCAGTACTGTTAAGTGGGTAAGAGAGATGAGTGGTTTATGAACACATGGAAAAAGGGACAGCGCACAGGATCCTATTTTTCTTTATCCAGTTTCTGCAATTAAAACAGACATTCAGGAGCAGTATGTAACCCTGCTGAGCTGGAGACAGCTGATCTGAGCATGGAAAATTCTGAGTAAGAACACCTACCTTAACTCTGCGATTAATGTTGAGGAACTGGCACGTCTTGTCATAAAGTTCTTCAAGTTTTTCTCTGTCCCAGTAGAAGTCGGGTGTTATTAGTAGGTCTGAACTCAGATTTATACGGTGCCTAAAAAAAATGGATACTACAGTAGTTCAAACTTCCCTTTGGTAAGTAGAGGAGCAAATATTTACACAAAAGAAACAGGAAAAATTTCCTGTAATTTTAAGTAAATTGTGAAAAGAATCTCCTTTCATAATAAAAAATACAATTGTTGTCAGGGTTTAAAATTAGCTACATCTCCTGAAACTTCTGAGAACACTGTACTGGGTAAACAGTTCTGAGCACAAATGACTTGCCTTATGGCAGCACTGCGTCCTCAGCTGGTCACCTTCCTTAACTTTTGATATCTGCAGAGAAGTCCTTGACTGTGTTGAAGCTGAGGTAGTATATGAATGAGTTACTGGTGAGCTCCTTAACAACTTGTCTGTACCTCAGAACTTTTAAGTGTGACTGGTACTGCATGCTGGACATGTGGGCATGGCTCACCCTTCAGAACCAGGCTAGTGTCTCAACATTATGAAGGCCAAGAGCTAAAACCTCCCACCCTCATATAAATCTTTGGACACTTAGAACGTCATTGCTCATCATTTTACTAATCCTTCAAGTAAGGATATAAACCCCAATGTTTAAAATAGGAATTGCTTTTTTAATAGGTAATATTTCTTCACCAAGTTTGAGGTTTTTTGTAAACCAGCATGTAATGCTCTGTATTCTCAATAGCCAAATGTCACTTGAGGGGAGGGGAAAATCTCAACCTTTAAATTCTTATAATGTAGCAGTGATTTCTGATTAAGTCAAAGGAAGAACAGAACTCACAGAACAGTTTTACTAACTCTGTGATGTAGGTAACAGTTCTATCTCCTGGTATCCTCTGCATACTCTAGTATCCACTAAAGTTACTGGTGATGAGACAGGTGCTGCTGGACCCAGGGAGGGAAAAGGGTGTGGAATTGGACATTTACAATACACTTAGTACTGCCCATCTACAGCTGAGATGCTGTAGGGTAGGCGGTCCTCTAACAAGAACAGCACACGTCTCTAGCCAAAACAGGGTTGAAGGAATCCACTCCCACACCCTGTGTTTAGTGTGTATTCTGATCTTTGTATCATGCACAAATTAAAAAAGTTTTGTGTAAGACAATGTCTTGGGGGGTAACAAAAAAAGTTACCTTAAAGCAAAAAGTTCTCCAATTTTCTGCATTACATCTGCATGAGAGAGTTTTACCTTCCGTCGTGACTTCAGTATCTGCAAAGTAACAAGTTTTTCACTGCTTGATCAAGTAGCATGTACTAGTAGTTAACTGGTCTGGTGTTTTACAGCCTGAAGTATGTATACGAGTTAGAATCTGAATGTATATTGTACTTACTAACATCTAAGTTTTGTTTGCTTTGTACTTTGCTTACCTAGCTGTGTAAGCATATCACCATCCAACTGTTCATCCAGGTTTTCCAATATATCACTGAGTGTGTCATCAGTATCTATAACAAAATCCTGAAGCATTTTCTATGAATGATTTCCTGAACAAGAGATAATTTTTTTCTTCCTACTACTGTTATTTTTAAGTAATGACAAGATTCTTTCACCTTTAGCCTTTTTAATAGACTTCTTCCTTACAACAAACAATGTATTACCATTTATTTCCTTCAAATAATAAAAAAGATGCTGTTTTCTCTGTTGAACCTTACACTTATTTCTACATGCTTTGTACTTCAGTTGTTCTCATGAAAAGCTGTGATTTAAGTACTTCACTCAAACTCTCTATTATATTCCATTTAAAGCATGCTATTTTTAGCCCCAACTGCCACACATGGTGTTTGGCCAGGTTTTTAAATGCCACTTGTCCTGTTACATACATACATTCAACAGTGGCACAACATGGGAAATATTATTTCAATGCAGAACCCCACTCCCAGCCCTTCAAAGACTGACAGCTTCTTGTCCCACCACTTTGGAGGTGTTCTGAGCTTTTCCACGTTGATGGCTTTACCATCAAACATGTTCAGCATTCAGCTGCTTTTTCCATATCCTCAGCTGCATCTGGACTGATCTTTTAAAAAGCACAGGAGAAAAGGAGGGGAGGGGTACAAACAAACCTCACCTCAGGAATTGACTGGATGGATTCCACAAAGTTATCCAATAATGATTCCCAAATAGCCAGCTTTACTGCAACACAGAGGTGACAAATAAGAACACTGTGAGTGGTATATATGCCTTCAAGTAATCATAACCTTAAATCTGCCAATGTGCTGCTTCCAAGCACTGTTTGTATGTATCAATGTATTTGCAACAAGTTACCATGAGTATTATATGATCAATGTTCATAAGCCTATAGACAAGTCTGGACTGGGCACTGACATAGCTCTGCACATGGAACCACCCTGAGGGCAAGTCTCTTCTCCAAACCATCACAGTATCACAGTATCACAGTATGCTAGAGATTGGAAGGGACCTCGAAAGATCATCTAGTCCAATCCCCCTGCCGGAGCAGGAACACCTAGATAATGTTACATCAGTTCAGATCCTGGGGAGTTTCCTCTCCAGCTCAAAAGTTTTTTGTTTAAGTGCTCCACTGCATGTAGGAAATCTTTGCAAACTACATTCAAAGGAGGTTCGAGATAATGAGTCACGCTGGAGCCCAGCTGGCTTGATGTGCCACTCCAGAGTCTGCGAGTTTCCAATCTGCAGAAATGCAAAATCACTGCTTTTCTAGTGTCCTGCAGAATTCTCATGCTCCATGTGTCCAGTACGTGGTGCAGAATACTCAAACCACAGTTAGGTTGTACAGACACACCACATGTACTTGTTAAAGCTAAATTCCGACTTAAGCAATCTCCCACTTTGGTTTTACGTGAATATACTGTTCAGTGAAGATGCAACTTCTCTTCTGCGGAAGCTGTTCAGCACAGGCAATGGCAACACGAATTCTACCTCAAGCCCCAGCTCGAGCCTGGAAAGATGTTTCTACAGGAAGATGATATAACTCAGGCCTTTGTTCTTTAGTCTGCAGATTTCCCGACAAGAACAAAGTGGAAACAGATAAAAAATTAACCCTACTCACTCAGCAGAAATTAGGGAAGATTTAATTATCAAAATGAACTCTTTCATTTACTTTCATTTACTACTTCATGGTAGTAATCAATGGTGTCATCTAGTCAGAACACTGACAGTAAATCCAATGCCAAACACACACTCATCTTCTGAATACAGAGGCCTACTCCAAGTCAGTGACTTAAATGACATCTAATTTAGCCCCTGAAAAAAAGCCAACAGGCATTTCAGCTATCACTGGTCATTTCACAGAGGTTGATTCCTGCTGTGTCATAAATCTAACCTGGACTATACTTGCATCCTTCATTTTATTGAACATTATTGAACTGTTTTCCTTTATGATGTGCATGTCTCTAACATAAATCGGTACCAATTACCTCCTGGGAATAAATTGCTTGCTCCATTAGATGTGGCACTACTGTTCTATGCAGTGCTTTATGAATAGGAAAACTATAGCAAACAAAAGGCTTTTTTTCTCAATAGCTCTTTCTTTGACAGTCAAGAACTATGTAGTTATGCTGTACTCCTTGATCAAACGGTGTATCGCTTCAAAAACACGTTCTCTTTCTCGGTATCTCTTCTGTTTAAAGGTGCACTTCCCCCAGTACTACAGGAATCCTGTAACTCACCCTAAAAGTAGGGGTAGACAGACCAGGCTCCCTTTAGAGGTCTTTCTGAGGACAGGCTTCCTGCTGTCAGCTTCTACTCTGACATCCTACCTCATCTGAGGTCTGAAGCAGCAGAGAGGTGTTACTTCCTCAAGCAGCAGGCCCACTGCTGAGCCCAACTCCTTCCCAGTGCCTCCTGCTGCCTCCTGCCATGGCCAGTACACCTGGAAAACATCTGTGACTCTGGTCCACAGACCTGATACTGGTACACCTCCCACCTGGGAATCACTGCTCTACATGACTTCTTTAGCTGGCATCTATCTTTTTCTGCTAGAGGAAATCATGTCAGGATGAATTACCTAAGTTTACTGATAGCTTTCTAATACTGGACTCTGCACTTGTTGCTATCCTGGAATTAGCTGTCAAGGGTGGGGAACAGGATGGTCAGTAGAACGTATCTCTGTTGCAACATATGTTTCTTAATGTGCTTTGTTCAACTTGAAGACAACAGTGAATGAATGCATTCCAATTTACAGAAAACAAGGTAAAGCTTTGAAAAAAAGGCTTTGAAAACGAGTCTTCCCACTGAAGCACAATCAACCTTTACAATTTGCCTAAACCAGACACCAGCCTCCGTACAAGTCCCACTTACGACAACATTTCACAAAATCCACAGCATAGGCTGATGCAACAAACAGCATTAACTTACCAGAAAGACAAAGGGCATTTGAAAAAGCAAATTTCTGCAGAACAACTTCATCACTATCCAGCTCAGAATTTAACAAGATTTCTCCTTTATGAAGCTTTGACTGCCCTCTGTTAAAACAGGATTGAAGCACCTTTATTGACTAAGCCACCAGCAAAGGAGCATTTTAAGAACAGTCAATGCAAGAAAGCTTGGTTGGTTATTTATATAAAGCATGCCACTTCTATATGTATATCATCCCCATCCTTGTGTTTTACTCATGTTCAACCTGACAGTAACAGAAACAAATCACTGAAAATTAGTTCCTCTAAGACTAATATTACGACCAAATTTCTAGGTTTAAATGAAACTGCAGCAAGCTATGATTACAATATTACTACATACACACAAATCAATCAGAGTAAGCAGGATGCTAGCCTCTCTCCTGTTGTCCATCTCCTGTATTATCTGTGCTTGTTTTCCTTTTCTTCTGTCACTTTTACCAACCTCCCTCCCTCCCTGCTATGATGTTACTTTCCCTGAAGCCTCTATTGTACAGTGGAGTCAGGAGCAATGAAAAGAGTGTAGCAGTCGTTTAATTTATCATGTCAATCTCACTATGAAACTTGCAAAACCACAAGGGGATATGCCAGGAATCACAAATTACACAGCTGGGTAGCACCTGCAGTTTTTGAATGACCAGGAAAAAGAAAAAGCAAACCAAACAAAAACTTGTCCTCTTATCAGGCTACCTTAAATAAGCTTAACCTCATTTGCTCAGCTCCTAGTGTTAGTGTCCTGTCTAGGAGCTGGGTTCTGGTTCTGTTGAAAAGTTACAGATGATTTATATAATAATTTACATTGAGAAATATTTCTGTAGAGATCATTTGCTCCCCAAGATGAAAAAACACTATTTAACAAGGCAAGACAACTTGCCAGGTTATCGTTCCACAGTATTCAAGTTACAGCTTTCCTAGGCGGTGACATATGTGCGTAATTACATTTTTGTATGGGAACCTACAGGGCACTAACAAAACTGATGTAAGGAATCCTCCTTAAAATCAGACTTGTCTCAATAATGTGTATCTGTTTTTTAATGTGAGGTACACAGTTTCTGTTTGGGATTGCTGAAGAACACACTCACTACAGCGATTTTAGCAGTACAGAAAAAACGTCAATTTAGATTTACTGTTTTCTCCTTTCCTTATTTCGCTAATTAGAAACAAGAGTAAGGACAAGTTTATTTTTACCAGCTGCTTCCATCTGATTTTGTTTCAGGTGTCTATCAGCTTCTATATAGAGTACCTGAAGATTACTCACTCTCCTATTCTATAGTTGATCTCTTCATTCTCCCAGTGGACCAGTGCAACTTCATATGGCTGAATTTCATGCTGTTCTAGCACTTGCATGACACTCTTCATCTAAGCAAAAGACAATTGCACACATAGAGGAACAGTCACCATGCAGGATACTATCACTCTACAAAGATCTCACATATAATAGGTTCATGAATACAACTTCCACACTGAAGTTATTTAAATAATAATGAATAGGTTTGCTAAGTAACAAAGTGATTATTAACACCATTCACCTCTGAAGCTATCAGTAGCCACATGGAAGAATTTGTGGCTATAAACAACTGCAAGCAATCTGTGAAGATTAAAATGTCATTTAATGTCCACATATATAAAACAGGGTAAGGATTAACCACAGCAGCAGCAAAGACAATGTGTGTACTGTAACAATAAGTCGTACAAGATTCTGGCATGTGTCTGAGTGTGGGAATGAATCTTTAGGATAAGTACTTCAGGTGGCTGTTTCTGTCAAAATTACTAGTTTGCTGCTAAAGTCAACAGTTTTGTTTCAACTATGAGAGGTTGCTGAAACAACAGAAATATTACAGATATCCTTTACCCCTACAGAAATCTGTAAGAATTGTTTCAGCTGCCCACATTTTACCCTGTAAACAGTTAAATACACAGCTTTACTTGCGTAATCTGTCATTTTATTCTCAAGCACACTAAAACCTGATGCAGGAAGAAACAGCCCTTTTCTCTCACAAAGCTTTCTTCTCCAATATTTGACGTAGGAACCCTCATCCTTGCTCCTTTTATGAGCTACAAGGCTCCCCTCATAAAAATCATTCTGCAATTAGAACAAATTCTGAACTAAAAAAAGCACTCACCTTAAAAGGCATTTAGCTACACAACAGCCAACAAAAAAAACAAACACAAACCCCAAACAAAACCACCACAAATTTTTGATATCTAAATAAAGAGGTGAATCTTCTACTAAGTCGTACTTAAACCACTTTCTTCAAAATAACAGATAATAGTGCATCTGTTAGTGCAGAACTGTATGCTAGTAAGCTGTTCATGAAAGCTGGTCTTCAGGCTAACTACTCTAAAAAAATGTTGGATCACCTGCAAGAAGGATATTTTTTTTTTCCTTAATCTACTTAAGACCTAACATTTTTCACTAAAAAACTCCAGTCCTACAGCTCTTAACTGCTCATTCCATAATCCTGAATTTAGCATTAGCATGACCAATACTGCCGTCTATTCCAAATCTTGTGGTAAAAAAAGGTTTGAAAAATTATTGTCATTTTTTAAGCAAGAACAGTCAGCTCAGCCAACCAGCTATGCTGTGTCCAGGGACAGTTCAGCAATGCAAACCCCACTGAATGCCAGAGTTAACAGCCAATCCATAATGCAGCACGCCAGGCTCCACAAGCATATTCATTTGGACCCAGCTTTGTGAAGTCATTACTAATACAATAATAATTATGCTACTAACAGGCTTCAGAACTACAACCAGCTCAGGCTTCCCAGGGCCAGTATACAGCAAGATTTAACAAAGCTTTTCAGACCATAAGTGACTCTCTGAAATTCATATGTCTTGTAACATGCACACTTCCAAAGTTCTTCCACTGCTCTGGATAATGAGAAATTGTATTTCAGTGGCAGCTTTCTTTTAGCTAGATGGAGTAATACAAAGGCTGCCACCAAGTGATGTGAGGCCCAGCCTTATTTTATAGTAGGGTCTAGCTATGACACAGCACATTTAATGAGAAGTTCAGGACTCACTAAATGCAAACTCTTGCTATTAAAGGCAATCACGTCACACAATTTCCTGTTAAAAGAAAACAGATGAAACTGCACCTCAAAGCTAGTCTTGCTTTTGCCCTTGCTATTTTTTCCATGAGAAGCTGTTGCACAGCCTCTCTTCTCAGGTATGTGAAAACAGTGGTTTACATTTTAAATTTCTACTCATGATCAGTCTATTTACTACTCCTTCTGTTCAGTGTCCATTTCAAAATTTTTCTTCTCTTAATAGCAATTCTGGGGTTTCTTTTAAAAAGCAGTTTTGTCCATTCACAGTGATTCTCTACGTCCTGTTTTACTGAATTACTTTCAGTTTCTGTTCTACAGACCAGACCAGTTTGGTTTGGTGCTGGTAGGGGTTTTTTGTTTGTTTCAGTTCATTAAAACACATATACCTGGCTCTATCTGAGCAAGCTGTTTGGGAGTTCAAGTTTTGACTAGGATTTCATAAGCAGAGAGAGGCAGTTCCTTTATAAATAAAGACAGCAGAGGACCAACTAAAGTTACTAGTACTGACAAGAAAAACATGGTATCAAATTTTCAAAGGTACTTAAGCACGTACAGCAAACAGATTTTAGAGTACTCTGAGGGTAGAGGTGCCCAAGTTATAAAAACAACAGGAGTTAGTCAGCTAGTCTTCAGTAATACCTGTAAATCAGTAGCATAGTTACAGCCGTAGCATCCTAAGAGTGCTACAGGTAAGGTTTGAAGGGGAACTAGTATTTTTGGTAGGCCAGCTGATTCACTGAAACCCCCCAAACCAGACAGGCAACCAGGAACATTTCAGGTCTGAAACAGAAAAAAGTGAACTTGAATCCAGAAATTGTTCGCATCTGGAAACAACTGCTCTGTGTTTTCATTTACCTTAATGAAAATCCTTCTGTGAACTTCTGTACATCTCAGTATCATCTGTTTAATACACCATTTAATTTCACATACTCTGTATCTAGAATCCAGTTTTATTTAACCACAATAATAAAAATCAATGTATTAAAAAAAAAGCAAGTGACTATAAATACAAGAATAGATATGCCTGTGGCATACCCCCTTGCTCAGCAAAGAGTGCCAGATCATCGTAAGGGGTATGTCATTTCAGTATCAACATATCTTAGTAACTACATCAACAAGTACAAATCCTCCTTCAGGAAAACTGCTAACTGGTAGAAATAATATTAAGAAGTTCCTTACAAATTCTGACTCTTTCAAAGTTATCCAAACTTTGAATACTTCTGAGTATCCAAACTCAGAATACTTCTGAGTTAAATCAAACAAAATATAATGATCTTTTTCTTCTAAGACATTTTCTGTTACATTACTGCATCTCAAACAACCATTCACAGGTTGATTTTTCTCATCAACTTCTTTGAGGTGTACAGCTGCAAGAATTTTCTTTTGCCAGTCTCATCACATTGAAGTTTCAGATTTTTTGCCTTGAGTAGAAAATGTTATTCACTTTCTATGTTACACATATATTTGCTCATTTTGTGCATAAAGTCAAGTTTCAAAGGTGATGTATCAGCAACAGACAAGGTGAGGCAGCAGCAGGCAAGTAACTGCACTCAACAGGAGGAGAATCTGTCCTTCATGGAGATATCCAAGCTCCCAAACAAAGCCCAACCTTGCTGACCCTGGTGGGACTGACAAAACATCTGCTTATGGTGTTTTAACAAACAATTTTGCTTTACTTACACTTTTCTCTTCCACATTCCAAAACACAACAGCACCTTCCCTGTGAATTCAAGGAAAAACTGAGCTGTAATTATGCTGTTTTAAATGTATTGCAGGGCAACACTCAAACTGTACAGTTGGCAATTTTTGACACTGTGGAACAAGAAACTTAATACTACCTTCACAAAAACTACCTAATTGTTGCTTTTGAATCACACTTTAACAAAACCCATGAAGAGGTAAGTCATCTTTCAACCAGTTAGATAATTCTGATTTTTTTTTTACTCATTCTGATTGGACAGTTATTCCTTGAGTTTCATGAGGTACTATAATGCAATGTTCTAGCAAGCTACACTACTTCTTTCACATCAGTGCTATGAACAAACTTTAATAAAAGTTTTGGGTGTGATTTATAGCTTACCTGAAGAAAAAAATCATGCCAGGATCATCATCTTTTGCAGATTTCTCAGTACCCATCACCAAAACATTTGCAGCATCTAGTTTGAAATAAATGAAAAAAAAAAAAGAATTGGTCAAACTTCTAAATATGATAGCTATAAGCATGTAATTCCAGTTTAACAGTTACATGCCAACATATCAGTCAGTTAGTCCCATATTTTATTTTTCTGATGGAAATGCTTGCCAGCAAACTACAGTATTAAACTACACTGCTGCTCTGAACTGTCATGCTCCAGAAAGACTCAGCTGCTATGCTAAAGTTTACTCGAACCTTTAGTTAATGAAATGCAACAGTTCTGAAGAACAAGTTTTAAGGGAAAACTGATTCAGGGCATAGTAAATAACGAATAACAGAATACAGAAGCGGACATACAACTATCGAAGTTGCCCACAGCTGCAGAGAAATTACCATTCAAATCTGCTTACCCGGAAGATCTTTCTTTTTTCTATACAGTAAGGGACTAATCTGCACTCAAATTGTGCTGACTCTGCTTTGACAGTCAGAAACTTGAAAGAACATACCCCAAGGCCGGGAGAGGGTACACCTGCATCTTCCTTCAGTTCAGAAGCATGCTTTTGAAACAAACCTTCCAGCCACCCTCATTTACAACACTTCTGACGTGCATTGCAGAACAGTGACAGAGTACAAAACTGTATTTTTTTTGCTGCATTAAACTGAAAAAGAAACTCCAAAAAGTGCACCTGTGGTACTCCAACTGCCAACAGGCATTTCTTACAAATTACTAGACTTGAGCTAGTGTAAGTAGAATGCCCCACAACTTACAAACTGTGGACGCCAGGTTCTCAAAAACAGGGTCTTCTTTTTTTTTCCTCTATATATCTGCTCCACTTGCTTATATAGATAACATTTCAGAAATCCTGATGTTGTTTTGACAAAAAAGGTTACTTTTAAGCATGACTGACCTTGTTGCAGAAATACTGGGAGCAAGACCAGCAAAACCCCCTACCTCTATTATAAAGTGAGACTCTGCAAAGAGAAATTTGCAGGGCCTAACAGCTAAGCCTTAGTAAGTTCAAATCCTCTGCAGAAAGATCACAAGACAAGCAACAAGTCATTAAGCTCAACCTGTATACAAATTCCACATTCTGACTTACTGCAACAGAGGCGAGGTAGACTAAGGCAGTGGAGAGAGATGACTACATATCGGATATACTTTTGCTAATACCTGAATTGAGATCACACAATTGGTCTGTATGAACTCTGTAACTTTCCTTTCACTTGCTATTCCAGTTCAGAAACACGTGATTTGATGAATCACTAGAGCAAGTTTTGCCTGTGAATTTTGAGTTCACCATGGAAGAAATGTTTCTCTGCATTTTCTTATTTGACTTTTCAGATAGCACCCTTATCTTTCTTTATCCACCCCAGACAAAACATACACAATTGGAGAAAATTTGGTCCATTGTAAGTGGAGGTAGAGGACCTGCCTCTAAAATATATTTAAAAAGCTTAAAAACAATACTCATGCTTAGGAAGAACAATGCAAAGCAACAAATCCACACCGTAATTGCTGATTTAGATTTCTATGTGCTAGTGTTTTTTGATTTTCCAAGATTCAACCACTGCTACATGCACAAGCCAACCACCACAACACAACCGATCTGCTGGCCACCATCCTGTCATCATTACTTCCTCCAAACTTTTGATAAATGAAGTATCTATTGTAAGGAGTCAGAAACACGCCAAAAAGAAAATCGAAGAACTGGCAAACCCCCCACTCTCAGGGTAAAATGCCAGCAACAGCTTTATGGTTAATTCCTAGTCTTGCTGGCATCATACAAAGTTTCTATTCCAAAGCTGTGAAACTAGTGCTGGATTTAATACAATGAAACTACAAAGAAAGACAAAGCCCAGCTCTAAAGCACCTTGTCTTTCTGAGCAGGATGACCATGAGTAAAACTTGATTTTGAGTAAGACCCACTGGAGAATTACTGCACTTGGATTATTAAGCGTTTGAGAGGCAGCCAGGTATTTGATAACCTCTACTGAAATGCCCATAAACACTGTAATTCCCTTAGCTTCATCCACTGTTCACTCTAAGAAAAAGGCACTCTACTGCCATCATACGAAAACCACAGCTGCTCTAGGGCATAAGGTTCCTTCAGCTATAAAAAGCTCCATTTGTTTTTCTCTTGTAGTATACTTCAGCTATTTCTAAGCCATACTTTCCCAAGTCTTCAGAGATACCCTGTATGGAAATCAGAGCCTTTTTTTTTCCTGAAACATAGCTAAGCAAAGCCGCATTCAACAATTGCTAGGATATATTTGGCCAAATAATAATAACTGCATTTTCTCTACTAGAATTAAGCATTTATGTACGTATCTTTTTCTTTTCACTTAAGTCAGTAAGACTCTCTCTTGCATGCCTTCCTCTCCACCCCTTAAGTGATTTTTACATTAAAAGAACTGTGGATATGGAAAGAAGATGCAACACTTCAAATCACAAAATCATTTTGACAGCTGAAGCACTATGGTATCACATTACTGAAAGATTAATTAAGGAAAACTTTCAGAATTTTTTCAGTTACTGAATTTATATAGAAATCCTTTGTATCAGAAAATTCCCAAATTTATCTTTCCTGCACGCATCTAATTTTTCAGTACTTTTAGTGTAAATTTATCACAGGGTAACAGCAAGTGCGTGATATATTCTATTCTGAAAAGTTTAGTTGCAGGGCCTTTTTTTTAGGCAAATGGAACGTTTAAGCAAAGCAGTATTTTACAGGCAGTAGGATATAACCCGGGGGACTACCAGACTAAGTATACATCAATTTATAAAAATTATCTACCTCACCCGTATTTCATTTCCCAAGGTAAAACGTTGCTTTAATATGTTTCAAAAATCTACCTCTAGGCAAACTTGTTATTTCAACATATCCATGTGAAGTCAGGTCATGACACAGATTACCAAGATGATATTCATCTGCTGTTGCAAAGGCTGTGCACTGCATCAGATTCTGTGCCAAAGGAACAGAGACTTGAGTTAGTGCAAGGGTGAAGCAAGATGTTCATAAAGACAACTGTTTGCCTCAAATTTATCATGAGAGTGACATTTTTCATTCATTCACTCTTTTCTACATCATTGCCATGTTGTCCATCTGGTGTAGAAGCACTAACGAGATTACTCACTCCCTGTTAAGTGGAAAAGCAAATCACAGACGGAGATCAAACCAGGTGACATGAGAAAGTAGCGCCAAATAACTTTGTGAAAGAGCCACAAAGTGTAGCCTTCCTCCCTGAATGCCAATCAAATGCTTCAACAGTAGATACACACTTGCTACTGCTCTCCCATCCTACAGTTTGACATACTCTTCTGACCACTGAAATCAAAAGCAAGACACCCCCAATACCACCTTTAGCATCTATATTTTAAAGATAAATGGAGTTAACTATCCCAGCCTGCTTATCAAGCAAACATCATGTTCTTTACTGTAAAGGTGGTGAGGCACTGAAATGGGTTGCCCAAGGAAGCTGTGAATGCTCCCTCCCTGGCGGTGTTCAAGGCCAGGTGGACACGTGACATGGTTTAGTGCGAGGTGTCCCTGCCCATGGCAGGGGGGGTGGAACTAGATGATCTTAAGGTCCTTTCCAACCCTATTATATGTTTCTATGATTCCAGGCACAAAGCTCACTGTCGATATAATGAGCCACTGCAACACAGCAGCACAGAAAGTAACAGATCTTCTGGGCCAGTTGTAGGTGCTGCAGATCTACAGTGTCACCCCAAGCTGAATCTTGCACTAAGTAACATGGTTTCAACTGACACCACAGTCAAACCAGACACAACAGCCAGAATTTGTCTCAATATCCACAACCTTAAACAACTAAAATGCCATATTCAAAACAATGACTTGCAATGAGATTGACTCATGCATGGTGAAGAATAAGAAAGTCAGCTGTATAAAGATTTTCTTGATTAATCAAACAGATCACAATAAACTAATTCACAAATTCTACTACTCATTTTAAGTGGATTCCTTTGTTCTGATAGCATGTATGTCCCATGATAATGCTTTTTAGTACAATGCAGTATAAAATATCCAGAAAGCAGTGTGTCTTATTGTGGATCAGTCATTTCCCAGCTTTTTGTAACTAATACAAATTGGGATGTAACTAACAACAAATGAACAAAAGAACTGTACCCATCTGCAAGCATTTATAACCATAATACACTTCAACTTAAAATCCAAATTATATTCTCACAGTAATCATACATTATCAAACAGCAAGGCCCTCCTTCGAGGGCCCATTACCAGTCATCAGAATCATGACCAGACTTCTAAACTTCTGTTCTTCAATGTTAACATTCTGTTATCACTTCCAAAGCTTTCCTTACACATCATCTTAATTCACTGATCACATAGAAAATAAATTTTAAAAGTAATTACAATATTCAGTGAGCAATTTTGCAGGCCTATTTCCATGACTGTGCTATGAGGCTGAGTTAACAGAACTCTGTTTTCAGTTCCTTTGCTGCTGTACTTTTTAAAGTTGTATTATCGCAATTTCATCTGTATAAATCCATTCTCAATCCCTAAACTGACAAAGCAAATTATATATTTCAAATTCTTCTAGAAAGCTCTGGTTATTAGAAGTACACATGCTCTGCCATGAAACTCAGGAGTTAAGGGAGCAAACTCTTCTAGCTAAGATATCATCTGAAAACCTCTATCCTGCTCCACGCTTCCCACAGTTTACTATTTGTGCTACCGTTCATTTCGGGGCAGATGCACTACAGGACAGACTTTCTGCCTTACTGCTGCAATTTAGTTTAGATGTAAAGACTTTACATTTAGTTAGAACCAGAAGTTTCCTACTAAGCCTACATACTTGAAATAGCATTTTGGATATGCACTAGTTTGGTTCTTTTAATAGTGTACTGTTTCACGTAAGTTTTTACTAAAATCTTGTTTGATGAAGAATATTTGGATTGCGTGTAATCTGAGATATATGTGACATAAAATATATGTGTCCACAGGCACTCTAAACGTCTAAGTTCCCATGACAGTGGAGATACAGCCAAGTCTACAATGAGTGATTCGACTACTCCTAAACCAGATATGTTAACTGACCAATCAATGCCATGCCTTCTGCTATATGACTTTCACCTGCAAACTTAAAAAAAAAATAAAAATCAAACAACCAAAACAAGCCCAGAGCACAAGATCTGAACTGGTGCTAGAAAGAAACTCCAGCTACTCACCATCCTCCTCCATTCTGCCAACAGCTGGGGCTTCACGGAGATTCTATTCAGAGCACCACAACAGCTACCCCTAGGAGCAGCCATCCTTAAGTACCTCAACAACTCATCCTCCACATCACCAACAACTGTAATAATTCTCCTTAGCCCATCACTTCCACTTGAAGCATACAGAAATTTTTAAGAAAGAAAACCTGTAGGATGAAATTAAATCTTCCTATCACCATAGGAATCAATCTTTATCCTAAGTGTAGTAAAAACTACATCTTTAGTTGAATTTCAAGCTTTTTCTATATTTTGTGGCTATAGCATTAAAAATTAGCTCAGAGGCTTTTCATGCCATCAGACTTTAAGAAATTAACTAAACTGAGTAGTGGTACCACTCACTGATCAGTCCACTAAATCACTTAACTAAATCACTTAACTGCTTTCAAGTAACTCCTCTGTCTATCCTGAAAAACTGGTCTTGCAACCGTTTATCACTGCTGTTGCTCAGCACTTTGCCTGTAAACACCAGATGAAGACCAGTGCTGGGGAGGGGTGGGGAGGAGCTCATTCACAGAGTGTTCTGCAAAAGAAAGGTGTCACCTGCAACGCCCTCACAGGCAAAAATCACCAGAGATCCTCGGGGTTCAACTAACTGAGAACCTTAGGAGTGGGCCCAGAGCTAGTGTCTCAAGAGGCAGAGCAGGAAAGAGAAGAGGCAACAGCTTGCCCTGAGGTAACAGCCTTGGTAATAGGGCCTGTGTTACCCAAGGGCTCTTGGTTGCCTCCACGCAGGCGCAGGAAGGCAGCACTATGTTTTGTAACACCAGGATTTACAGAAAACCGGCAGTGCATTGAAAATCCCCTTAAGGATTCTCCGTTTGCACTAGTTCTATCAGCCATCTTGCAGAAACCAGGCACATCTTTCAGCTGTTCTTCTATACACAAACAGGTAAAAACCCATGCTTATTCCAAAGTACCATCAGCCTGCAGTCGAGGTGACAGCCTGGACTCTTGTAGATGGGGCTGTATATCTGACAAAACCACATGGGGTTTATTCAAAAACAGCAAATATTTTTGTTAGGTCTGAGTTTATGTAATTTCTGGCACAGCATTTTGCCATGTGGAAGCTTTCTTAGGAAAAGTATTCTTATTTCAGTATGTCAGGCAGTATTTTCTCCATTTCTTCACTTTGGAAGAAAGTAAAAATGGCAGTGTGTATTACTTGCATACAATATGCATGAAAACGCCAAACAAAGAAACTGGTTGCATCTGTACTGCCATTTAAAAGCCTCACGAATCTAAAAAAAAGTTCTTCACCCAACAACAAAAAGCCTCACGAATCTAAAAAAAAGTTCTTCACCCACCAACAAAAAGCAGCAATGTCTGAATGTAGCATCATAGCATGAATAGCAAGCTTGAAACATTACATGGTATTTCAGGACTAATACTCTTCACTTTCTTTTTTCAAAGGAATGGGAAAATACAAACAGGAGCTAATTTGTCTTGAATGGAGTCTTTATCTTACATTAAAGCATACTCCTGCTCACCATACAAAATATTAAACAGAAGCTTAGATGACAAGAAAGCAAGCATTAAAACTTCTGTGCTCACATTCAGTGGATCACATAATGGACACATTTGCATCGCTGAAGCTATTTCTGAAAGCACAAGACTTGTTTCAGTTTCATCTGTAACACAATTTTATTAACAATATCCTGTAACTCAGTTGTTGCTGTAGCTTGAAGAGAACAGTAACACTTCTGATACCAGGATTTTCCTTGGACATCTTATATTCAAGTACGCTTAAGGCCTGCCTTGGCTAATATTGAGGCTTGTAAAGAACTATCTTAAGGAAAAACAGCCACAAGTATGCACTATTCCACTTAACCATATCTCATTTCATCCAAAACAATTTGTTGCTGCAGTTACTCTACAGACCTTGGAGCCTGGAGATCAAGGTGCTATTTCTCCACATGGAATAATCTTTCTCAAGTAGCACTGGCTACATTTGCCATTCTGTTTCCTATCTGAAACTTAATCTGAATATAAACCTTATACTATTCATTTTCATCTTGCATTCTGTTTGAGTGAGACCTTAAAACTGGGTAGAACTGGACAAGCAAGGATACCTAGGGAAAGTTAAATTAATCTGAAAGATAGACGTTGTTTCTCAATATTGAATGTAATGTGAGAGTACTGGTTAAAATTATTTTTAAAAGATTTCATATTTCCACATTAATAACCACTTATCTTCCCCCCATTTTGTTTACACATTGCTAATAATCTCCATTTTATCTTCAAAATACCAGACACATTAACTTGTACCTAGCTTGTCACTGTTTGCAGATAGGGTAAGTAATGAAATCCTCCTCCCAGACAAACACGTTCATTCCATTAACATGTTAATCTAACCCCAAATCTGAATCTAAATTAAACTGATGAAGTTCCCTTAATATTATACAAGACTGTAAAATTTATCTCTTACCTGCATGTCTGACAGTAGTGGCTGGTTAGTTCTGGATGGTTGCTTAGTCCTTGGTGCCTTCGGTGGCCTCTTAACTGGCTGGCTATTGTGTTTTGGAATAATTTTGCCAGCTGATACAACTGTGTAAAATCTTGATGATATGTTCCTTAGCTTTGTAATATGCTCTGTACTGAACTTGTAGTTTTCCATCGTTGCCACACCAAAATGTTTCCAGGATGGAAAAAAACCCTCCTCATTCCAAAAGCAAGCATTTTTTCCCAAAGCCGATACATTTCCCCAGTGCAGCTGCCAATTCTTGACTTGCACATACCGACTTGTCAAACAAGGGAATGCAGTTTTCAGAGCATACGAATCCCAAGACTTTGCTCTTCTGTCAGATGTTCTGTCAACTTTATTATTCAGCTTTAATAGCAGATGTCCAGTTTTATTAAAGCTTTGGCATTGGTGTATTGTCGTTAAAGTGTGGAAAGATCTAGTTTGAAGATTTGGAATTTTCAGTCTCATTGCTTCCCTCAGAACTGTATTTAAAACAAAGAAACAGAATCATCCATCAGTGCTTTGTAAAGAAGTAATACTATTTTCCCCTTACCTAAAAGGTAACACCCCTCCGCTCATACCGCATGTGTTAGTACTCATAAGCACATAAATACTGCTGGGATTAAACGTCCTTTTTTCCATGCGATGGAAATATTGTAATTAAGACCAAAACACATTACTGATCTGTGTGATTGCAACACATGATGAAAAAGTAGAACGGGCTGCTATGTCAGTACGTAAGCAGGCATCTTTTCCTTCTGTTGCTCATTCTGTGTTAGCAGTCTGTACCCTCAGTAACCCCACCGATGAAATTACTCGTGAGCAAGCACACACCTCGAAGAGGACATCAGACTCTGTGAATCATGATTTTACACATAATAAAAACACATAATTAGATTACTATACAGTTGCACGGGAATGTCACCTGTGAACACACATACACTGATCTGCACCAGCTCAATCTGCCGTATTACAAACAGTCTAGCATGGATCCAGCTCCATTCGTCTCTCTCGACTACAGCAAGAGGTTACAGTTTGATCCTGCAGGTACTCACTGGTGCCACAGGGCCTGCAAGGCCTGCTTGCAACTCTACCCGTGCTGATGGAAACATGACAGAGTCCTTATTCTGTTATTCCAGACTAAGGAAGCTTATTATAGTTACGCTATGTTGCAAGAGCTGATCAAATAAACTTTAGAAGTATTCACTTCAGCGGGTGTGTCTCACTTGCTGAAAGATTTGCAGCATCAAGTCCCTGCCCCATCTGCTTTTATTAACCAAGAACGTTTCCCTTGCAACACAAAATCTGTCTTTAGCAATTTATATAAGAAATTAAGTTGTATAGTTTGAAGAAAATGCCAATTTCGGATTATTTTTCAAAAACAGTGTAAAGAAGGATCTTTAATACCACCAATACATTTACCGTAATAGTTCAATCAAGCATTTTCTTTTAAGAACAAATTGTTGTGTGCTGACTGCAACATACCCTCCATCCTGACACGGATATCTAGATACTAGCACAACACACACACACAACGTGAAAAAAAAACAAAACCAAACCCCACCCTGACATAATTTAATGAGAGTACTCACGTTAGGGTGAAAGAGGCACAATTCTTAAAAAGAAAAAAACAAAAAAAAGCCGTGGGGGGGACCACAGAAAACACCTTTAGGTTACCACAGAATAAGTAACAGCTTTTTACCCGATTTCTGAACCTATTATTTGCATACTTACTAAACTAATCATGATTTTCATTTCAAACTTGTCCCGTATTGAAAAGGGGACCCAGAAGACTCTGTCTAGAAGGCACGCTGTCGTTTCTATAGGCCTGTTACCTCTGGATAATCAGGAGAGCTGAAAAACTCAGCAACTGCAACCGAGGATGGTGGAGAGGCAGGACAAGAGAAGACGCCCCAGGAGTACCTAATGGAGACTCACAAATACCAGGCTTTCCAAGCCAACACCACCTTGGGCTGAATCACAGCGATCCCAGGGGGTGACTTTTCAACCGCACAAGCTTATGGTAAGTTACAGGGAAGCACTGATCATCTGGACTAAATTCCACTGGGGAGCCTGACCACCAGATTTGTAGCAGCTGAGGTACCTAGCCGGGAAGGGCAGGATAAAGCAATCCGGGACAAAGAGCTACCAGAGCAAGGCAGCTGTCTTCAAGCAGCAGGAGAAAACCCGCACTTTATTTTCCAACGTCTCTCCTACACACAACACGCTTTAATCACGCCCGTTGCCTCGCCAGCCGGAAGCCCGCAAGACGTATGGAGAAGTCGGGCCTGCTCCGCTGACTGAAAGACGCAAACCAGCGCAGACCGGCCCGGTCCAGCTCCCCCACTGCGGCGCTGGCGGCCCCACAACAGCAGTACGCCCGGGCCTCGCTGCCGGCACACCCTGCTCCTTCCCAGCCCCCACAACCCCCCGTGAACAACGGCCGCAACTGCCGCCCTGCCCCCACCGCCGGCAACGCCCCCTCCGGTATGCGCGGGGGGAGGGGAGAGACGCGCTCCCATTGGCTGCCTGCCGGGGCGGGAAGCAGGCCGTCAGGAAGCCAATCAGGAGGAGGAGGAGACGCCCCGCCTCCGCAGGAAGAAGGAGGAGGGCACCGCCCCCGCCCGAAGGGGCAGCCAGGCCCCCGGGCGGCTGACGGGCGCACCTAGAGGGCGAAGAGGGGTACCGCAGACAGGCCGAGCGTTCCCAAGATGGGGCCCGGACCCCAGTTCCACAACACTCGGCTGCCGCCGCAGCCGCGCCATCGCTGAGAGGTGCATCGCTGCGGCCCCGCAGTACAAAACTACGGGGTGGGGGGGCAGTGAGCGGCTCAGCAGCCTGCCTACGCTGGCAGCAGCAGCCCGGGGCGGAGGAAGGGACGGGGCAGGAAATCTCCCCCAACCACTCCTACCACGGGCAGGGCTCTTTCTCTCCCCTGGACCTGCCTCCCCTCCGTCGGCCCACGACCGTGCCCGCGAGGGGAAGCAGAGCCCTCCACTCGCGGCACGATCGGGGCCGCGGACAGGGCGGCTGAAGCCGGGCCGAGTGGCCCACATCCTCCCGCAGGGGCTACGGCAGGCCTAGCCCCGGGCGGCCGTGCCGCCGTCGCCGGCCGGGGCAGGGGGCTAGTGTCTCAGTAGGGGCCACAGAGCGCCCTCCCCCTGCCCAGGGCCCCATGGCGGCTGGGACCGGCGGCGGGCACCCGTCAGAGGCAGCCGCGCCGCCGCCGTCCCGCCCTTCCCCCTCCCCCTGTCTCCCTCCCCGCGGCGCGCTCCCGCCCGCCGCCGCCGCCGCGGGAGGGGCGAGGCGGTTCCCGCCGCGCGCGAGCACTGACCTGGGGGAGGGGGCGAGCCGCTCTCCGCCGCGCGAGCCCGCGGCTCCGCCCACCGCCCGCCGAGCTCCGCCAGGGCGCGCGGGCCGCCAGGCCCCGCCCGCCCGTCCGTCGCCGTGCCGCGCGCCGGGCGCGGCTGGCTTACCAATAACGTCCGGCTGCCTCGCCCCACTTCCGGGGGGTGGTGCGGCAGTAAGCGGGGGCGGAGCAAGATGGCGGCGGTAACGGTGTTACCGGTCTCCCTCTCGGCCAGGTTTAAGGGGTCCGTTATGGCCTGCGGGGTGGCGGGTCAGGAGGGAGCTGAGGGGGCGGCTGGTGCTCCCCTGGCCGGGGGGGCGGCTGCTGCCGCCTCAGGGCGCAGGGTCCCGGGCCCGTCGGCTGGGGCCTCTAGCCTACCGGTGGGTGCTGCTTCTCGGCGTACTTGTGCGGGCGGTAGGTGGCGCCGTGGTGCAGGGGCAGGCGCCTTCTCCGCCGGCTTGGCAACGGTCCCGGTCACGCTCAGCGCCGCGGCTTCCCCGTGTTAGCGGCCAGGAGGGCGCCGGTGGTGGTTGCGCTTGTGTCAGGTTTCTTCGGCTACGCTGTTCAGCTGCGTGTAGCCGTCCGGCCCGAGGCAGTACGGCCTGGCTACGGGTCCCGGAGCAGAAATCTTCAAGTAAAAAATTATTCTTCGGGCGGGGTTACAGCTGTCGGTTGGGCTGGTCACGGTTTGCTCGCTGTGATCCTCACGTGTGAGCCATGTGTGGGGAATGCTAAGTCACGTATGCAGTGGAGAGCAAGTAATGCTGGTACGCTTAAACTTTGAACAAGCATCTGTGCTTTTAATTTTAAATTTCCTTGACTTCGTATCTGGGTAACAGAACAATTAGAGAATGTATTTTATCCTAGAATTAACTGTAATTTTCACTCTTTTACACGCCTAGTCATTTAGCATTTCCTTAGCTGAAAACGCTTGCGTTTATCTCTTCAAAAGTAGACTTAAGAACCTGACCAATTTGGTTGTTTTTTATTGGTGTCTACTGCTTTAAAGGCACATAAGCTTCCTGTAAGACTGTCGCGGTTTAACCCCAGCCGGCAACTAAGCACCACGCAGCTGCTCACTCCTTCCCCCCTGCGGCGGGAATGAGGGGAAGAGGTTTGGGTAGAAGTGAGAAAACTCGTGAGTTGAGATAATGACAGTTTGTTTCATAATTGAAATAAAATACTAATAAATTTTAATGAAAAGGAAAATAACAGAAATAAAACCTAAGAAAAACAAGTGATGCAAATAAATCAACAGTTGCTCACCACCAACTGACTGATGCCCAGCCAGTCCCCAAGCAGTGGGTCCCCTGGGCAGCCTCCCCTCTAGTTTACTGCTGAGCATAATGCGGTGTGGTGTGGGATATCCCTGGAGTCATCTGGGACCAACTGTGCTGTCTTCTTGTGTACCCCCAGCCTGCTCACTGGCGGGGTGGTGAGAGGCAGAAAATCCCTTGACTGTGTGAGCTCTGCTCAGAAATAACTTAAATCATCCCTGTATTATCAGTCACGGTTTTCAACACGAATACAAAACTTAGCCCCATATCAATTACTGTGAAGAAAATTAACTCTGTCCCAGCTGAACCCAGCAGAAAGACCTTGCATTTATTTTTAAAGAATGGATGATATTTCATCATTTCTTCTTTATAATAAAATATTTGATCATCTCTTTTTTAGATCCTTTGCATATTTTACAGTTAAAGACAGACTGCCCCAGATCCTCACAAGAGTTATTGATACTCTGCATCGACATAAAAATGAATTTTTTGAAGAACATGGTGAGGTAAGAATAAGGTCTTTTTTTTTCCTGAGATTTTTTTTTTCTCCACTAACTTGAGACCCCTTTTCTGCCTTGTTTTTACTGGTTTCTTACTACAGTTGTTACTTACCTGTCTTTTTTTTTTTTTATTTATTGTCTCTTATGCTATTTTTTATAATTTTGTAACTCATCTTTCTGTCTAACCTTTTTCTGATGTGTCTGTTCTGCATTCCTTCACTTTCTCAGGTTACCGTCTTGATGCAGTGTTAATGGGCGGTAGCATTTTCTGAACATGGCAGTGTTTCAGTTCTCTCTTCCCCTCTAATAAGCCAAAAGCTAACTCTAAAAAGAAGTCCCATATGCCATTCATTTTAGGATATTGGGTGTAAAATGAGCTTCATTCACCAAAATGTGTTTGTATTTGGCAATTAAAACTTATCACTTATATCTTTCAGGAAAAATTGATCTGTGTCTCTACAGGAATGAATATTGAGAATAGGAATTTTTGTTCTCCACTTATTTCAGAAGGGTGTGGAAGCAGAGAAGAGAGCTATATCTTTCCTCTCCAAGCTGCGGAATGAACTGCAAACAGACAAACCAGTGACCCCTTTAGAAGATGAGCTGCCTGATGCTGCTCTGTGGAACCAGTACCTAGACTACCAACGAAATTTAGCAAATGGGAGTGGAGAACTGAGTTGGTTTCAGTCCCCTTGGTTATTTGTAGAGTGTTACATGTATCGAAGAATTCATGCAGCATTAGCACAGAAGTAAGTATTTACTAGCTTGGTATATTACTCTTCAAAAAATACCATTCTTTCCCATTTTTATTTGAGGAGAAAGGAAGACAGCTGGAAATAAGATAAAATCTTAAGCTTTTACAGTATTCCTTGTCCCTTGCACCTCAGATATAAAATGAATACTTCTTCCATGCAGCAGAATTTGAAGCTTATTAGTTGGATTTTTTTATGCTTCAGCATCTGTGACTTGGTCTACATGAAAACTCTTAAGCTTAACTATATAGCTGGACCTTCTTGCAGATTAATGTGCATTGACATATGAAAGTTATTTAGCATTTCTAAAAGGTCTGTAAGTCTAAAATTGTTTCTTAAGACATATGTTAGCCTGAAACACAGAATGTGAGAGCCACTCATCTGCTGGGCATTCTCATTTGTTTTGCTGCTCAGAATCTGAAATTACTGTTTGAGAACTGTCTCTTATAGCAGTAGCCCCACCTTAAGCAGCCCCTGTTCATTCTACACCATCTTCTTAATTACAGCAGTGTTTGCAGACCATGTGTTGCATCGAAATTTGGGAGCTGATCCTGGTTAAAAATAACTTGCTGTGCTGGTACTGTGGAGAGGTGCCAGTACAATGTAATGGGGGAGGAATGAGCAGTTTTAAGTTCCCATGGCTGTCAAGAAAAAAAATAATTGAAAGCTCCATATGTACTGTATTTGCCCTTAGTATTACAGAGTTGCAAACACAGTTATGGGATCCTGTTTCCACTGGTGTGTTGCATAATTTGAACTCTTGTACCAAAAGCTTCAAATATGAGATGGATCTTCTGGATTACAGTTGAAGAACTCGACAGATACTTTTCATTAGTAAGCTCTAAATTGCTTCATCTCTGTTACTTAGCTTCTCGTAAGCATATGCTTGGAAGGAAGTTCAGTCGTGTAAAAAGGTGTACGTGCAAATACGTCTCAATAAATGAGTGTATTTCAAACAAGAATTGAATTGTTTTGTCATCTTTGTCATGTTAATTTTCTAGTCCTAGTTAAAAACTTCTGTAAGAGTAACTTCATATCACTGTAAGAGACCTTGGTATGGGAAGTACATTTCAGCACACCCTAAAATTGGGCCAGCAATTCACTGTGTCTGAAGACTAGAGTTCAGAATTTTCCCTGTATATGTGCAGTTCCCGGAATTGTTGTGAGTGAACACTTGTTCACTTTCAGAATATATTGCTAGAAATATAAGGATGTCTCATATACTGTCTGTTTCAGTGAGACATGATACCAGGCTGTAATTGAGATGCGTGAAAATCTAGTATGACAAATAAGATGTGGAAAATCTAGCTAGAGCTCATAGTACGGCCTGAAAAAGCTGAGCTTCAGGCTTGCATTTTTAAATATATTTCGTGTGCTATTGGAAAACGTTGCAAGTATGTTAATATATTTGTTCTTTTTTTAGCCCACCTATTGAGAACTTCGATGTCTTTAAGGAAGGAAAGGCTCAAAATTTCTTCGAATCCCAAGAGGCTGTTATTGCTTTATGCACTTACTTTCAGGAACTTCTTAAAAACATCAAGGATCTAGATGAAAAGCAACTTCAGGAGGAACTTTTTAAGCTATTGCAGGTAAAGTAGTAGTGTTTAGCCTAAGAATTTAAAGTATGTCTTCTATGTATCAAACAAAAACTTGAGGCTGTAAAGAATCTGAGCGTCATAAGGCAGTTAAAATATGGCTCGTGTGTGTAAAATGTAGTGAAATCCTGGCAGCCATACTGTATTGCTGCTACTCTGGAATTTTTTAAATTTTAATTACTTTTATTAAATGTGACATTTTCATTATACTGCTGTTCTTCATTGTGTATTTGAAAACCCAGCTTATTGTCTTTAACACTCCCTCTAAAATGCTTTAAATCAAGTTCCAGGTACTTATTTAACTGTAAAATTTTAAACCAGTTCATTTTATTGATGCTAAAAATTTTTAAAGTTCTTTGGAAGATAAAGTTAGAAGTCGGTCAGGGCCAGAAGTGGGGTAAAAGCTTTGTAACTGTATTATTCTTGGAAAATAATGCTTTGGGTAGAATATGAAATAGTATAGGATTACAAGGAAGTCCATTAGCTGGCAACAGTGCACAATAAGTATTTGGTGAATCTTTATTAAGACCTCATCAGTGTGTATTTTAAATACTTGGCAGCATGCAATAAGGAAACAACTCCTTTTTCTGTATCCTCACCGATATTTTCTGGAATTACAGTATGGAGAATATTTGTGTTTTAAGCTTTATGATCTCCCTATTGATGTTGATCTAAATTTTCCGTATTTGTCTTTGCTGATGCATGTTTCTGATGCCTGCATAAATACAGTGCGTTGTTTGGTTTATTCCACAAAATCTTGTCTGTAATAAGATTTCAGTACCAGAAGTTGGATTTTATTAAAGCTTGGAGAAAAATGCAGAGTTACAGCCTTCATGACCCTAAAATGAAAACAAACAAACAAAATCTTTACTGTACGTGTAGTTTAGAATGTAACTACAGTGAGACTTAGCAAATGTTTTTGGTTTTTCCTCCTTCCAGGTGTCACTGTGGGGCAATAAGTGCGACCTTTCATTTTCA